CTCGCTCTGACCTGGACTTAGGATATTGTCCCACGCTCTTGCCCGCACTGAGGATATTGTCCCGCGCTCTTGCCTGTACTTAGGATATTGTCCCGCGCTCTGACCTGTACCTAGGATATTGTACCGCGCTCTGACCTGTAGCTAGGATATTGTCCCGCGCTCTGACCTGTACTTAAGATATTGTCCCACGCTCTTGTCTGTACTGAGGATATTGTCTCGCACTCTGACCTGAACTTAGGATATTGTCCCGCGCTCTAACCTGTAGCTAGGATATTGTCCCGCGCTCTGACCTGTACTTAGAATATTGTCTCGCGCTCTTGCCTGTACATACGATATTGTCCTGCGCTCTGACCTGAACTTGGGATATTGTCCCGCGCTCTGACCTGTACCTAGGGTATTGTCCCGCGCTCTGACTTGTACTTAGGATACTGACCCGCGCTCTGACCTGTACCTAGGATATTGTCCCGCGCTCTGATCTGTACTTAGGATATTGTCCCGCGCTCCTGCCTGTACTAACGATATTGTCCCGCGTTTTGACCTGTACTTAGGATATTGTCCTGCGCTCTGGCCTGTACTTAGGATAATGTCTCGCGCTCTGGCCTGTACTTAGGATACTGTCCCGCGCTCTTGCCTGTACTTAAGATATTGTCCCGCTAAAGCCTGCAATTGGGATATTGTCCCGCGCTCTTGCCTGTACTTAGGATATTGTCCCGCGCTCTGGCCTGTACTTAGGATATTGTCCCGTGCTCTGACCTGTACTTAGGATATCTTTCCGCGCTCTTGCCTGTTCCTAGGATATTGTCCCGTGCTCTTGCCTGTACTTAGGATATTGTCCCGCGCTATAGCTGGCCTGTACTTAGGATATTGTCCCGCGCTTTGACCTGTACTTAGGATATTGTCCCGCGCTCTGGCCTGCACTTAGGATATTGTCCCGCGCTCTGGCCTGTACTTAGGATATTGTCCCACGCTCTTGCCTGTACTTAGGATATTGTCCCGCGCTCTGACCTGTACCTAGGATATTGTCCCGCGCTCTGACCTGTAACTAGGATATTGTCCCTCGCTCTGACCTGGACTTAGGATATTGTCCCACGCTCTTGCCCGCACTGAGGATATTGTCCCGCGCTCTTGCCTGTACTTAGGATATTGTCCCGCGCTCTGACCTGTACTTAGGATATTGTCCCGCGCTCTGACCTGTACTTAGGATATTGTCCCACGCTCTGACCTGTACTTAGGATGTTGTCCCCGCTCTGACCTGTACTTAGGATATTGTCCCACGCTCTGACCTGTACTTTGGATATTGTCCCGCGCTCTGACCTTTACTTAGGATATTGTCCCGCGCTCTGACCTGTACTTAGGATATTGACCCACGCTCTGACCTGTACTTAGGATATTGTCCCGCGCTCTGAACTGTACTTAGGATATTGTCCCGCGCTCTTGCCTGTACTTAGGATATTGTCACGCGCTCTTGCCTGCTTGTACTTGAGCCTCGCTGGCCTTGGTCAGCTTCATTTGACGGGTACACATTTTAGGGCTCGTCGTGACCTCGGGCATGCCGAGGTCACCCTCACACTGCAGAAATATAAATGGAATTTGCCGATGAATGACAAATATAAATGGAAAATTATGATGAATACCACTGCAGAAATATAAATGGAATTTAATGATGAATGCCACTGCAGAAATATAAATGGAATTTAATGATGAATGACCCTGCTTAAATATAAATGGAATTTAATGATGAATGACACTGCAGAAATATAAATGGAATTCAATTATGAATGTCCCTGCGGAAATATAAATAGAACAGAATGATGAATGACTGCAGACATATGAATGCACGACAGTGTTTAAGTCGTAGCAGGAGTATTATTTAGATATAACAATCAATTGAGCTGCAGAAATATAGATGGAACAGAGTGTTGAAGGTCATTGCTGGGAGTTTTTGCCGGAGCCACACAGCGTTGAGTTCCGCCGTATGTTTTGCTGCGCTGAAAAAGTCTCCTTGAATTTGTGAGCCGCGGAACATGCGGACGATTTGGCGTTGCACAACAAATCGTAACGTTTTTGAGGTGATTGAACGTGAATAGCGTTATTTTGGGTTCGATGAACTCTAGTGTTTCGATTTGTAAACATGTTTGATCTCACAGCTATTGCTGGACATTTGAAACTTGAAAATGGTACTCAGTACTTGGTCAAATCCCGCATTTTTGTCATTTCATGCGGGTTGTGATCTATACGGGAATACCACAGCGATCACATTCAGCCTCTTCTACCTATCCCGGTGGCCGCGGTCTACTCTCTAATATTCCAGATGCCCGGTCTGTCCTGGTTTTTTAGCTCGACACAATCACTGAAATTGACTTTTTTCCGAGGGTCCCAGGGATGTTGGGGTAAGCGTTTCCTCCCTCGGTAAATAGTCGACGCTCTATGTGCGCCTTCAGGCATGCACGCTCCTCAGCGCCGGCATGCACGCTCCTCAGCGCCGGCATGCACGCTCCTCAGCGCCGGCATGCACGCTCCTCAGCGCCGGCATGCACGCTTCTCAGCGCCGGCATGCACGCTCGTCAGCGCCGGCATGCACGCTCCTCAGCGCCAGCATGCACGCTTCTGCTGAGTGTTTGACTTGCATATCCTCAGCGGCACCGTGGCGGATGCCTACAATTCTATGAGCCTGGTTTTCGTCAAACGAGTTTTTTTTACATTATGCAACGCATTTTAGAAATGTATTACGTTGTTTCTGAAATATTGCTATGTAGCTAATTTATATTATATCGTATTATGCATGATAGTTATTTTTATGCACCAAATATCTTCTGCTAATATTGGGTAAATTAATTGGCTAGATGCGACTTGAAGCGCCAGGTAGAATCTTAGAAACTAGTTTTTTATGGCGATGCCAGCCAGGGTACTGAACCTAGCAGCCCTTAGTGATAACGCTAGTGACACGCCCAATCTCCACCTCAATCCAGTTTAGCTTTGGAACTTTTTTCCTAGATACGACAATGATATTATGTTACATAATATTTTTGCAATTGTCATCTTCCTGTATTACGCACCTTAACCAATTATGATTTCTCGCATATACTATAAAATAATTATAATTATCGTATAATTTTACATCAAAATGTGAATGATTTATTTTAATTTTTGTCCAGAGATTTGGCCTTGAAAGGGCGCTCCTCCTTATAGTAAACATGCATTCGTCCGCGAGCTTTTTACTGTGCAGTCCATCCTCACATGACGTATATAAATAGGGCCGATGCATTGATGGAGCTATTGGCACCGAAGGAGAACTGCTGGCAATCAAAGACGAGAAATTTCTCGTTGAAAAACTTACGTAGATTATATACTTTTTAATGTCCGTAATTGCTTGTATGTTCCTGCAAATTATTAGGTTATTTCGGCAGGGTTCCATTCATTTCATCATTTACGACTGAAAATAGGCAGACAGATGCCCTTTCAAATATAAAACCCATCGTATTTATCTAAATATATAAAATATATACACTTGACATAATGGTACGGCTTGATAATGATTGTTTCAATAGAGATGAGGACTCCTCCGTGATCCTAGAGCCTCCCAGACAAGTTCTTCAAACTCGGCCTTCAATTTGGTCTGGAAGCCCGGTCTCCGGAAGCACACTGACTTTAGCTCCGCAATCCTATACACGTGAAACAAACTATGTTTCAAAGCTGACCTTTTGATTCGGCAAATTCACAATGACAATCACAGCTGATGAATTGATTCCTAATTCATCCTAAATTATAACCAATCATTTTGATTCACTACTATGTTTGAATAATAAATTAGTTGCGTAACTGACTGATAAAGGAAGTGCCTGCATGTCAGCTATGCCGCTACATGGGTTGCCAACTGTATAACTACTGGCTTAGAACTGGCATGTCGCCGTCGGTTTATACTGTTGCTGCCCCATCCAGTGCCTACCAGAACTTAATTTATACTGTTTCACGTAGTTTCGAACTACCATTTCTCGCCAGCATTTTCTTTTTGTACCAGCAGCGTTGCAAAATTTCTTGTTAAGATATCTTCCAAGTTTGTTCCTGATGCACCAACTGCATTGAAATTTTGTGTTTATTCTTTAAATTCTGCGACTAGATTTAAGTCTTCAGTCGTTTGTTCAGAAACTGGTTTTAAAATTTGCTCATCGTTAGGTTTCAAATGAGACTAACTATAAAGTTTGCTCTAAGCCGTTTTAAATTCACCTGCTAAACCTGTTGCTGGAAGTCTCTGTTCGGCCGCTTCTGGTTAACACAGGGAGAGTTCATTACAAAAAACTAGCGATGAATTAATTGTATCAACATCTGTGCAACTCTAACATGTTCATCAATTAATTGCATCACTAGTTTTTCCATATTTTTCACCACATTTGTATCAACAATTGATTTAGTATAATTTCCATCGTATTTTTAATAACGATATATTCAGTTAAGACTCCTATAGTTGTTTATTGGACTTTAAATGAAAGGACCTGTGCTTACTCTATACTCTGCACTTACATTTGTTTGGAAAACAAAACTGAGCACTAACGGGCTAGTCATTGTTGCACATATGGCTTACTTCACATGCATTCAAATACGATACCCGCAGACTAAATTAATTCACTGCATTATTTAACTAAAATTAAAAACTTTTTATTTCCCAGTGAATTAGGTACCACATCTCCTAAACCACAAAATTCCGCACTGAATTTACATTCATTGCACTGTAGCCATGGTCACATTCGTTACACATGAAACCTTATGAGCGATAAAGTTGAAATTGTGTTGCCAGTGAAATAATAATTTTTGTTATATGAATAGCACCACGCAAACTCGTACCGATGCTGTTTGTGAACTAATTGCACTGTCCGAGCATTGACGCGGTCTCATTAATTGCACTGTTCGAGTATTGACGCAGTCTCATTAATTGCACTGTCAGAGAGCAATTAATCAGTGCAATTAATCATCATTAATTAACGCAGTTGCATGTCCTCCTGCAGTGCGATGGTGAAGCAGACAGGCGCTGTCCTGCTGCACCAGGACGAGGCTCTGGCGGCGAGCAGCATGGTGGTGGTGGCCGTGGGTCGGGACCACTACGACAGCCTGCCGCTGGCCAGACTCAGAGGCAAGATCGTGATTGACGTGGCCAACAACACGGAGATCAGGCGAGGCCCTCAGTGAGTGATCGGGGTCAACGTGCGCCTTGTGGGAATGAAAGGCTAATGACATTTGACGTTGACTTTTATCAATACATTGAGAAGAAGTTATTTGGGAATGAAATTGTAATTGCCGAAATGAGCGAATATAATAAATTTTACGATTGGAGCTTACGAACCATCGCAGTATGAGCTAATAAAAGAGATTAAGAGGTAAAGTAAAGTGCAGGAGCAACTTACTCGTTACGAAAAGTACGGATAAATTTCGTTCCTCATTAAAATGAAAAAATTGAAGTGACCTATAATCCGGCTAATTTATTAAATGAGTGCATGAATTAAATTATTATTTGCCTCTTTTCGCCAATGAATCTGCCTAGAGTTTTATGTTCAGTTACCAGAGTAACGCTGGGTACCTGCACCTGATACAAGTTTTGCCTTCAGTTACCAGAGTAACGCTGAGTACCTGCACCTGATACAAGTTTTGTGTTCAGTTACCAGAGTAACGCTGAGTACCTGCAAGGTCTGCTGCCGGAGTCGAGCGTCGTGAAGGGCTTCAATGTTCTGTCGGCCTACGCACTGGAGAACGGCGGGCTGCAGGGCAGCAAGGAGGTTCGTTCTTATTTCGATTCTTGTGAGCGAAGCAGCGCTCAAATTTCTTGATAATATTCGATCACGCACCAGCGTAAGTCAGAAAACAGCAAATAATTAAGTGAAAGAATGTGGCTGTTTATAACCAATCTAAATCCCCGTTTTATACAGAGACAGAATATTACGTACTGAAATCTTTCGGTTTCTCTTCATGCCAGCTAAATATTTAAATAGAAACGTTTTAACACATAATATATTTCAGTTCCCTCCTGTCTCTGATTTCAAACTTAAGAATTTTAAACGTTATCACATTCGTCGTAATTTCCTGCAAGTAGCTCCGTCTTGTGCATCAGGTCTTCATCGCCGGCAACGACCCCGACGCGAAGGCGGCGGTGTCGCAGGTGGTGCGAGCGTGCGGGTTCACCCCCGTCGACTGGGGGACCATCAAAGCCGCGCGCGACATCGAGGACGTTCCGCTCAAGCTCATGCCGTCCTGGAAGAAGCCTGTTGCTGTTGTCTTCGGTCTCTTCCTTTTCGTATCCATTATCGCTCTTTTCAGGTAATAGGAATAATTTTTATTGGTTCTCGTACTGTTTAGCATCAAATATCAAAATATCGCACCCGTAGACAGGTAGGTCACCCTACAGCGGATAGCTACTGGTCCGGAACCCATACTAGCATTAGTGCCACCTTGTTCGGGTGGCATTGTTTATGATTTTTTCGTTGAATAATTGTTGGATGAGAGTGACAAAAAACAACAAAATCTTAATTGTGTGGAAAATTGCTAAATTCGTAAATTTAGCACATTTTTCATTAGGCTACTAATGACTCGTATACAAAGAAATGCATTAACAGTTCTAACGCTATTTTCTTTTCAAACCAGTTTTCAGATCTGCCGGAACATACAAGACGGAGACTGGACGCAGAATTGGACGACGCTTTTCAACACCAACTTCAACAGAGTCATCGCTGTGGTGGCCCTCTGGACACTAGCCTTCTGCTACCTCCCTGGTCAGTGCATAAAGACCAACTTGAGGGAGAATATTTTTGAACTTGTACTGGAATTGTCTTAAATAATTTCACGTTTGGTCTCGTTCTCTCTTTGCAATAATTTTCTTATGTATTTATTTAAAATGTTTTATGCAGGATTGCAGAGATTAATTTACTTTGGTGATTTACATACAGTTGGAAAAAATGAAAGCTACTCCTATTGTGCAAATTTTAAAACTCAAAAATTCATCTCATATAATGTCCACATCATGTGTTATGCAGTCATCTATCACGGATGAAAAGAATACTATGCATCCATCATACACGGAGGAACTTGATATTATGCAGCTATATAAGATGAAAGAACATTATATCATATACAGCTATGTATCACACTATTAAATATATGTATATATCTATATGATCATGGAGGAACACACAATGATATCTGCCAACGCTGCAGGGTTGCTGGCCGCTTACGTGCAGCTGTGGCGGGGCACCAAGTATAGCCGCTTCCCTGCCTGGCTCGGCGACTGGCTCAAGATGCGCAAGCAGCTCGGCCTGCTCATGCTCGGCATGGCCGCTACGCATGTGAGAAATGCGTTTAATGTTTTATTTCCTATGAACATGGCGAGTCTGGAGTTCAGAGTCTCTGATTTTTAATGATTGAAAATTGCGTATTAATCGCACATGATTTATTACTAACTTGTTGAGCTGTTCAATAAGAATCACGAGACGTGAGATCTTTCTTGCAGTACTCTTAGCTGTTGGACTAACGTAATATTTTACTTGAATTTATTTTCTGAAATTAATCATTCTAAGATAATTCTGCTCAAACACTTGTTCAGACTTGCCATGGTATTCAACGTTATGTGTTTATCATAAAAATAAGTGAGCGAGTGCTGTCATTGCTATTTCCTTGTAATGGACGCCGTCGTGGATATTTACAAGACGTAATGTTTTGTATATTTTGGCTGCAGGCATGCATGTCGGTGGCATACGTGTCCCCCCAGACCCTGTCTTGGGTCTACGAGCCCGCCACCAACATCCGAGTCTTGGTACAGGCCCCCAATGGGACTACCTTTGAGAAGACAGAGCAGCTCTACAACTTCCATTTCAACTGGCGCGGAGAACTCTTCCTTACGCTCGGTATGACTTTGATACAGAGCAATAAAAATAAAATAAATTTTAGAAAATAATGAAAAAAATGCTCTCAATGATTTATTTCATTGATGTTCATATCTAATGGAATTTTCAAACGAGAAAAAGTCAATTTCAGCCTTAATTTTATTTGCGGGGATATGGTGAGAATTGAACGCAACTGAAATTATATGTGAAAAAGAAACAGCGGACCAGTCCACTCAAGCGTCAGAAAAATATATCTATCAATCTACCAACAATCTATAATTTGGAGTTCATACCTGTGAAACTTTTACAACAGAATGTATTATTTTGGATCAGGAAATTATTTTCGTTCTAGAAACTCTCTTCCGTCGTCCAATTGATACCGATTGCTCTACGTCCAATAACCAAGCTTCTTCCTATCCTAAATTTTTTATCTCATGATAAACGTTGCCTTCCAATGTTCAAATATTTTTGCTCATACCAAACTTTTCATTACGACGTCCAAATATTTTTTTAATTCTCCGATATCTGCGATACTCGACGCTAAAAATCGATACCCATACCTTTCTGTCGAGACACAACGCTTTCTGTCGGGACACAACGCTTTCTGTCGAGATACAACGCTTTCTGTCGGGATACAACGCTTTCTGTCGGGACACGACGCTTTCTGTCGAGACACGACGCTTTCTGCCGAGCTACAACGCTTTCTGTCGGGACACAACGCTTTCTGTCGAGACACAACGCTTTCTGTCGGGATACAACGCTTTCTGTCGGGACACGACGCTTTCTGTCGAGACACGACGCTTTCTGCCGAGCTACAACGCTTTCTGTCGGGACACAACGCTTTCTGTCGAGACACAACGCTTTCTGTCGGGATACAACGCTTTCTGTCGGGACACGACGCTTTCTGTCGAGACACGACGCTTTCTGCCGAGCTACAACGCTTTCTGTCGGGACACAACGCTTTCTGTCGAGACACAACGCTTTCTGTCGGGATACAACGCTTTCTGTCGGGACACGACGCTTTCTGTCGAGACACGACGCTTTCTGCCGAGCTACAACGCTTTCTNTCTGTCGAGACACAACGCTTTCTGCCAAGACACAACGCTTTCTGTCGAGACACTACGCTTTCTGTCGAGACACTACGCTTTCTGTCGAGACACTACGCTTTCTGTCGAGACACAACGCTTTCTGTCGAGACACAACGCTTTCTGCCGAAACACAACACTTTCTGTCGAGGCTCAACGCTTTCTGTAGGTTTCAAAACTTTGCTCCGAAGACAAACACTCCTCGCAATGCCCAGACCATTGCTCTTCACCTTCACTGTTGCCTCGTCCTCAGGGGCGCTGGCGATGTGCCTGACGGTGGTGCTGGGCATCACGTCCCTGCCGTCCGTGACGGCCACGATGTCGTGGCGGGAGTTCACCTTCATCCAGAGCAAGCTGGGCTGGGTGTGTCTCATCTTCGCAAGCTTCCACGACATTTTCCTGGCTTGGAATTACATGTTCCTCTACTTCGGCTGCTTCAACACGCTGCCCATCGGACCTCAGGTATGAGCATTTGTGTCTGAACTGATAACTATCATTACAAATTAAAGTTTCTCGAATGAGGCGTTCTAGCGATGCACATCAACGAAATGAAACGTTTTGTGATACTTATTATTTATTGGGATCTGCAAGGTCAAATTCCTGCAGAAATATGTGCTCTTACACGGTTTTAATGCTTTCAAATATTGTTTCTAACATTGAGCGTTGATGTTTATAAAAGATTATCATGATGCATTATATAATCACACAATCGCTTGCCGAGTTTACAATTTTCTCTTTATTATTTCCAGAAGATTGATCATTATTCTGTAATTAATCTTGCATTTTGTACACTCATTTCAGTTTCAACTTGTTTATAATTCTATTCTTCCGCCAGTACGCGCTGTATCCTTCTGCCCTGTGCGTTCTGTTGAAGCTGCCGCTGCTGCTGCCCTGCGTAGATAACCACCTACAGAAGATCCGTCGCGGCTACGAGAGGCAGTCCGTCAGGAAACAAAAGAACATCGCTTGACACATTTCCGTTCAACCAAATTAATTACTAGAACAGCTGGTTAACCTCCGACTTTAGGTTTTTCATTCGCCACCCATCATCTGCAGGGATTTGAATTGGTTTGACTCATGTTTTGAATTCAATTGAACATGACTCATCAATTTGCATTCCTGCCGAATGAAATGAACCATTGCCTACCCGGCCAATTTACTAATAATATAATGTCGAATGAATTTTTTTAGCATATGCGTCGAGTTGTGTCTGAGAGCGTAATTCCGACTTGTACATATTTAATCATGTAGGCCTGTAGCAGTTTGCGGTATGTCAAAAGCAAAGTTCTTGCCAGCGTTGAAAAAAACTTTATTTTGCTTTCTGCTTCTATTTTTATGTCGTGTATTTAATTCATTCGTAACTAACCAAGAAAAGCAGCACAATATTGCCATAGTTGTCACACATTTGTAGTCATTTGTACCCAGCCAACGCTGAGTATAAATATCCAACTTGCATAGGTCCCGGCGATGCATTTTATATGTCTGAAATTACACCTCTCTGCATACTGGAAGACCAATTCTGAACGAAATAGGTATGTAAATAAATTAAAGGGACTAATAATGAGCGTTTCCTAGATAACTTGACGCCACAAATTCTCGGCACCCCGACTTTTTGGAGGCTCTTATCTACAACCAAGTTAAGTAATACAACGCGTAGTTATTAAGGACCCTAGTAAATGCATCACATTGCATCGGCATTTAAAAATAGATCTAAGTTCAACCGTATAGTTTGTTTTGGTACCTAAGTTTTAAGTTGTATTTTTACTGCATTTCAACTATTCAGCAAAAAATTGACTAACGATTAATGGCTCCTAGAAATAACGATCATCAGGGATTCCATGTTGGCTCAAATGATGACCAATTTTAATTTAACATGCGAGACTAAGTTTTTCCGTATTTGCATTGTGTCGCCTATAGCGACATTTCCACGCAGAAGCATTCCCGCTTCATAGTTTTCTTCAAGCCATTCGACTGGAAATTAAATATTGTTTATGACGGAATTCAAGCACGTAGAATTTAGAAGGTTTAGGTAGTCGAATTCTTCATCTTTACCCATGTAATTATAATATTATTTTTAACTCCCGTTATCGAAAGGCAGTTTAATCATGTAAATACAGTAATTTGTAATGGAGCGACGGGATAAGAGTTTCGTTTTGAAGCAGACTGCATGCCTATTCTTTATGCTTAAAGTGAGCTGTGATATTTTATTTCAGAATAATTTAAGTGAAAGTGTTTCCCTGCGTGATGGCAGTGTTGGGCCTGCAACCCTTCAATTTCAGACGAAGGCTCCTCCTGCATAGCTGTCACATTAAGGCAATGGCTCCCAAACTGAAATATTTTACTACCTAAGGGTAATTTACAACATTTTTAAAGGAATACTTGGAGGAGCAAGTGTTTATTTCCGTTTGAGCAATAATTTCGATATGATGTTATGGACAGATGTTTTGAAAAACGCTGCTGGCTTAGGAACGGATAGTCTGTGGCCGTTGCAGAACAAGTGAGCAAATCGCGCTCACAGAGACACTTTTTGTCGAACCCTTGCTCATGGGAGCTTATTTTAATAGTCACTTCAACGATATTTTTTGGTATCAGTGCCAAAATCGATTGAAAAATGGCATTTAAAATCGAGTTATCAGCACTCTTAGTCATTCTGAAGATAAATAGACGTATAAGAGAGCGCGTAAAAGAACTTGTTTACAGTAATAACGTTGAAGGAAAATAACAATAATAGGATTCTTTTGGTCTAATGTAGAGTCTCGGTCCCGAACGACGGAGACCAAACTGTTGGTGTCATCTCAACCCAACCCTGACGAAGGTGGCTCTCCATTCATAATTTGTTTACTTTAATAAACTTTCGTGATACTGATAGAATCAAATTATGCTATTGATTTTCTTATTATTTACCTTTTATAAAAATTATATAGGCGACAAACAAACTGTTGGTGTCATCTCAACCCAACCCTGACGAAGGTGGCTCTCCATTCATAATTTGTTTACTTTAATAAACTTTCGTGCTACTGATAGAATCAAATTATGCTATTGATTTTCTTATTATTTACCTTTTATAAAAATTCTCTACTTTATTTTCATTCAAAACTCTCAGGATGTGTGCATTGTGCATTACGGGATGCCTTCTTTCTTAATTCCAGATAGAGGCTCTGCACTGATGATGAATTCACGTTAACGTAGCCTGTGTAAATCCCATATACTCGTTCTATTTCTAAAAGCATTTTTCTTCTATCGGAGAGGTGTTAAAGCTTCACTGACAAACATACTCTATATAGTCAACTGTTCCCTCTACCGAAGTAAAAGTTCCTCGAAATTGGTATATACTTCATTTAATCCCATGATCCCCTTACACTAGAACATGACAAATTTATTTCAACTTTGCCTTAGTTTCAAAGTACTGCGATAAGTTTCGTTTAAACCTGTACCTGTACAGGGGAGCGCAGCCGTGCACCACCAATTTTCTGCACCAATAAGCCCTGAATCGAACGCCTTGGATCTCTCCGGACATTCACCAATCAGTCGTGAACCACTCGGCTTTGTCTTCCTCCGGCCTCGCATAGAACCTGCTGTGCACCACCAGGCCGCGGATCGAATCTGACTTCCGGGCATCGTTAAATTACGTATTTTACGTTCACCGCATCTGAGGTTAGGTTTCAGATAGCATAGTTCTGTTCCAAAATTTATCGTCCTTCGACAAGTGGCCGTTCGACCGAGGGCTGGTTCGACCCACGGCCTAGATACGGACGGCTTGAAGTGTTGAAGGCTACATTCCGGAAGACAGGAATCATGATGGTCCATTACATCCAGGGCAGTGGTGGTCTTCGGCAGGCGACCCCCTGTACAGTTGGATAAAAAACGTATTGTGGTCACTGCGAATTTTGCACCTTATGACCATTGGGGTACAACTTGGAAGCGAAGACGAACTCGGAGAAATTATCACGACCTAAACAACACCGTCAGGTAGGCCTACTAGTGAATGCATGTGCAAAGTTTCATCGAGCTACCTTCGTTTCTTTGGATGACACTTCATTTTCACTGCTAATTTGACCATCAACCATTGAAATGCCAAGTCACTTCTCCATATGGCCGTATAACTCGCGAACGACACCTTAATTAAAAATTTTTGCACAACCTAAACATCTCCGTTAGGTGATTAGGAATATAAATTCTGGGTTACGTTCGAATCAGTTCAGTAGTTCAAAAACTATTTTGTGTTCACTCTGAATTTTGGCCCGTATGATCGTACAAGATGGGAACGAAGGCGAAATTGAAAAAAATAATCACTCCATAAATATCACTGTTGGGACCTAATGCATGCATATGCCAAGTATCATCAAACTGCTTTCATTAGTTTGAGAGAAATTTCGTGTACACTGAATATTGGAGACCGTACTTCAGTGTCCGAGAGGTAGTTCAGTGTATGAAAATTGGAGCACTGAGTTGCTTGTTCGATTTCAGCTTTTTCTGACAGTTTTAGTCAAAATCGTCAAAGAGGCCGGGAGGTTGATAATAGCAAGATTGAAGCAGTGCGTTGCGAATTCCATACCCCCATTAACCGTGAAATTTCTGATACGTCCAGAATCGGCGATAGAGCAGATTTGTCCTACGACAGACAAGATTCGCCCCTAACACCGACCCCACTATGAGTATAACTACTATTACTGTGGATATCAATACTATTTTTAAAAGGAAGACCAGTGCAGTTGAGGTGTAGCTCTGTTGTTAGAACCTCGTATGAGGCCCAACAAGTTAAGTCATCTGCAGAGCATCAATCAACTAGATTACTAGAGAATCAGTGGCCCGTATGCTAAATAGGGCACTAGCACTACGAAGTAGCACTATGCACTACGAAGTGTCCTGCTGGTATGCTAAATACGTCACAGACACTAAGCACTTCGAAGTAGCTCTACAATGTTTAGTGTCGCTTAGTGTCGCACTACTGATTCGTATGCAGAAAGACTTTGAAGTGCTACTTCGCTGTTAGAGTACTTTATAGTGCCGCACTACGCTATGAGTCTATTGAAGAACGGTAGTTAAGTGCTCAAATAATTAATTATTCCCTAAGTTATTCTCATTCTTTGCAGAAGATTGATGTAAAATGTCTAATTGTGATGGTATATAATGGTACTAGTGAAAATTGTGATGTGAGCTGAAATTCGCAATGCGTCTGCGCACCTTTCCCATCATATATTCAAAGGCCACGCTTCCCAAAGACATTAGATTTTTGTAGTGCGCGTTATGCTTTTGGCCCTATTTAGCATACCAACCGTAGTGTTCCATGCCGCACTATGGCTTGTAGTGCGTAGTGCTACTTCATAGTGCTATGTGCCCTATTTAGCATGCCAACCGTAGTGTTCCATGTCGCACTATAGTAGGCACTACGGCTTGTAGTGCGCAGTGCTACTTCGTAGCGCTAGTGCCCTATTTAGCATACGGGCCAGTGTGGTGCGAACTTTCTCTAAAAGGCAAGGATCATGGTTGAATTAATACATGTATTAATTCAACGATGGCAAGGATATCCTCCTCATAGGAGTCCCTAATAGATCACCTAACAGTTCCTCTCTGCCTTTTACCGAGCATGAATCTCAGTAGGTCGCATATGTTGATCGTTGGGGACTTGAACCATCCAGAAATAGACTGGGCAGATGAATCCTTTCTAAGAGATGGGAATCCCCCCAGCATCCGTTCATGAAGTCTGTGCGAGACTCAAATTTAATCCAGAACATCACCAAGCCAACCCTTTTTAAGGGTAAACAGACCCCAAATATTCTTGATCTAGTATTTACTAGTGAAGAATCAATGTTAGATGAACTTCGCTACGGGCTTTGTTGGGCAAAAGCCACCACCAGTCATTGTTACTTCAGTATTAAGTGCTATGCAGAAAAGACGCTTCGGAAGCGTGAACGTCTTGAACTTTGCAAAAAGTGACTAATTCTGAGATGCAATGAATGCGGCGAATATTTCAGACAGTATTAAGGACACGAATGTGACTGATTCATGGTCATTTCTCAGAGGCCTGGTTATGTCTGCAGTTGATGCGTGTGTACCTAAGATTAAGCTCGGCGGAGTGAAAAAGTCCCAGTGGATGAACAGCACAGTTATTGCTCAGCTGACCGAGAAGGGAGCGTACAAGCGCTATTTACTAACTCGCAGCGATGCTGATTAAAACCTGTATGCAAAAGCTTGAAATTAAGCTAAAAAATCTGTCGCACCGCAGTGAAAATTGTGAAAAGAAGGATTTCCAAAAATACAAAAAAGAACACAGAAGCCTTCTTTTGTAAGCTAGTTCGAAGTGTAAGACAAACGACGGTATCTCTGAATTGAAAGTAAACCTCAGTTCTTTGGCAGGATGTTCACAGATGAGGATTTAAACAGTATTCCAGCTATTGAGGAGCGCCCAGTAGGCTCGAAATTAACAGGTTTGAAATACACGAAGAAGAGGTTCTCAAGCGCCTGGTCGCCCTAAATCCTAACAAATCATGTGGACCAGAAGCCTTTCACCCAGATTGTTCAAAGAATTAGCAACCGTCCTGGCAGGCCCTTTGACAGTATTATTTAAAAAAAAATGAACGAAGGAACTTTACCGACCGATTGGAAAGAAGCTCAAGTAACACCATTGTTCAAAAAAGGTGACAAAAGTAGCCCGGTAACCATCGCCATAGAAGTCTGACAAGTGCTGTTTGTAAGGTAATGGAATCTGTTGTGAGAGATGGGATTATCGATCACTTGACTGTTCACCATCTCCTATCAAACTGTCAACATGGCTTTATTGCCGGTAGATTCTGCACTACTAACCTCTTGCCTACGTTCAATGATTGGACTCGCTTGCTGGACGAAAGGGACCCAGTGGATGCAGTGTACCTCGATTTACCAAACGTTTAAAAGTGTCCCGCATCAGCGGAACACTGTTCCCTCTATTGAGGGAACAGACACTGTCAAGTGCACTGTTCTCTCTATTCCCAGTCTTTGGAAATAGAGGAAAATGTACTCCAATGGATCAGAGATTTTCTATTAGGTAGACACCAACGTGTCAGCAGTAACGGAATCGTGCCGGGCTGGGCATCAGTGCTCAGTGCCGTGCCAAAAGGAAGCGTTCTTCGGTCTTTTTGTTCGTTGCTTTCATTGCTTTGCCTATTACACAAAAATTAATAATACCGGGAAGGATGCGTCAAAAAAGTGCAATTGCAAGATGATGATAAAATAATAATTATAATAATATTAATAATAATATTAATAATAATAATAATAATAATAATAATAATAATAATAATAATAATAATAATAATATTAATAGCGGTTTCAGCGTTTAGTAGGCCGTAGGCCTGTCGCCGATTCTTAACATCGCAGAACATTCACAGCTTCTTGCGGTCTCGAACTTGCAACTCACTGCTACAATTCTGCTGTGCTTAGCCGCCCGGCCTCCTCGTCGATTCTGTCCAGAAACTTGCGCACAGAGCTGGGATCGAACCCGCGCCTCTCTGCGCCAATCATGGTACACTGAACTCTAACCACTGGGCCACGCTACCCCTGCCCATGACAGTTTAGTTAATTGGGCTGATACGTGGCAGCTGCATTTTAATGCTGACAAGTGTAAAAAACTTCACCTCGGAAAGAACAATGAACAGCATGATTACAGTATGAGAAGACATGGTTGAAACGCGAGATTGATGATTGAAAAGTCTAGGGTGGAAAAAGATTTGGGAGTTTATGTCGACAAGGAGCTGAAATTTTCTTAGCATATTGAAACGCAAGCTAATAAATCCAACAAACTTCTTGGACTGATCAGGTGCTTACACGAGTTCTTAGATGCAGAAGCGATGAAGCAGTTGTCGCGATCCTTAACATATAGTTTGGAAACGCCTTGTGGTCACCAAAACTTGAAAAATACAAAAATTTAGTAGTGTTCAGAGACGTGCAACAAGGATAATTCCAGGTTTGGGAGGCAAGTCCTATAAAGAAAGATTAAAGATTATGAAGCTTCCAAGCTTCTGTTATCGACGTCTGCGTGAGGACCTCATTGAAATATACAAGCATACTCATGGCTTATACAAGGTCTCAGAAGGATTACTAGAATTTGAAACAAGAACCAACACCAGGGCCCATGACTATAAACTAAAAAATCTGCGCTGCAACTCATCCACGCGAGAACCTTTCTTCTCGCTTCGAACCACCGACATGTGGAATAGCCTCCCCGTTTAAATTGTTGACGCTCCGAGTACAAACCCGTTCAGGAACCGACTAGACGAAGCTATGCAGGAACATTTGTTCAGTCTTGAAATGCCTAGCACATTACGGGCCTTGCAATAAGTCCAGCAGCTATCTCAATCAACCGTCAGTTATGGGACGATCTGGTTCAAAAGGCCGGATCACTTGTGGAATCAAGTCACAAAAAGTACAAGAATATGCAACAGGCCATGTGTCTATGTCTTCAGTGTCGACACTTCTATTCCATAGCCGTTCTTAGAACTATAAACTAAAACTATAAACTAAAAAGCTGTGCTGCAACTTTTCTACGCGACAACATTTCTTCTAGCTGCGAATCACCGACATGTGGAACAGCCTCCCAGATTACATCGTTGGCGCTCAGCGTATGAACGCGTTCGAGAACAGACTAGATGAAGCTATGGAAAAATATATGTTCAGACTTGAAATGCCTAGCACCATATTGAACCCGGTGGAAGTCTAGTAGTCATTTTAGAACAAGTCACGAGAAGTACAAGAATCGGCGACAGGCCACATAAGGCCTACTCTTCAGCGCCGACATCACTATGTTATGACCTCCTGGAAATCGCGAAAATTCACACGGGCTAGACATCACCATTAGGTGGTCAGGAATCTATATACCAAGTTTCATTGCAATCGGTCCATTAGTTTGGAAGATATTCCATGTACGATGAATTTCTTGAGGCACGGCCGTGAGACAGGCCGCGTTTTTGTCCGAGAGGTCAATGTTATGTTATGTTATGTATAACTCGCAAACGAAGGCGAAATCGAAAAAAATGAACATAACCTAAACATCACCGTTATGTCCAAATGAACTCGTGTGCAAAATTTCATCGAAATGCGTTCATTAGATTTTGGAAATATTTTCGGCTCGCGCATAGCTAAAGTTCGATAACCACTATCAATTACCAATTAATAAGTAGATTTTCATTTAACACACATATTTTCGTAAAATATGTAAAAATTTTCATTTCATATAAAAATGTCACTTAATCCATTATCTAACAGCTTGATCATATAATATTATTACGTCATAAGGGCAGCTCGATATATAAATCATCCAACAGTAACTTTGTACTAGAGAACTTTAACGCGAAAGCTAAATCGCAGCACATGGCAGTGTTGACGCTAAAGTGCTGATGAAATCTTCTTACATCAATGGTGGAAGGGAAAGGAGCACTTATGTTTCTATAAAGAGCACACGGAGGCCGGAGCACAAGTAGACATGGCTGAAGACGAGGCGGTATGTTGTACTATTTTCGGGTTTTGATACTTTTTTAATATTACTTGACAGACGCAATAAGATGGCATTTTTTGTAGCTATCTTATCTACAACACTTCCTTTTAACTTCACTTCTTGTTGGTTTGTCTGTCTCAGTGTCTGCAGTACAATTTCCTACAAATCTTGGAATCGATATTCAACACACTTCTACCTGTCCAATCGATCTGAAATTGTTCACACTTTCATAAAGTCGGAGACAATGCATGAATCAATTGACAGATTGACAGAATATATAATATTAAAAATTACAAAAAATTTTAACTTGAAAAAAGTAAAAAAATAATTGTGCTTGAATCTTATAAGCTAAGTGTACTCAACTACTCATGCTCACAGCTCATCTATTACTAACAGCACTCTGAAGTCATCCTCTTCCTTTGTACAGTACTTTGTAGATGATGTAGGCTAGATGTAGAATAAAAGACATTTACTGTGATCTTTACTTGTTCTTCCTTTATTGATATGAAGATATGCTATTACAATATCCATACATGATACATTATTGTATTATTGATGTGACACTGTCACATCAATAATACAGTGACAGCAGAGTGGAAATCTAAGATTAGAGGTTCACTTAAAAAAAAGCGTTCCGCCTTGAAAAAAAAATAAGATAATCAATTTTCATTACATTGCGCCAACTGTGCACAGCAATAGCTTAAAAAAAGTGAAAATGCGCGGGAAAATTCACCGAAAACATACATCATCCTGATTGTGGGTCTTAACCCTTTGCAAGGCCCCATGCCCTTGGCCCTTAGGCCCCTCTTGCAAGTCATGGTCTCATCACAACTCCCTTTAGAAATATGTGGAGTTTCAAAATTGATAGTAATAAATCAATAAATATTTGAACTGGGAAATTCCTTAGTTACTCACGTTGGTTCCACAATGATATCAATGACGTAAAAAATGACAATGACATCGGTTAAGCCTCGGCCATGATTCTAGCTCTGCTCAGTCCTTACACTCTTACCTCGTAATTCATGATGTTAGAACTTCGATATTCAAATGTTGACACTACTGTCAAGTGTCAATATCACAATCAAAATTATTTCACAATCAGAAATATGTTATAATATCACAATCAAAAATATTATTCACAAATAATCATCCATTTCAATGCCAAACTGGTCCCATCTTCACGCTAGCCATATGTAAACATATGGCTAGCGGTGACGTCACACACAAGAACACGTGGTAGCTACATTGACTGTGACAAAAAAAAAGCAATATTTCACTGTACCACAAACAAATAAATGTAAATAATTAGTAATGGAAAATGTGTTTCTGCAACATTTTGAGAGACTGTGCCTAAGCAGAATAATGTATTGTTATTATTATAGTTATATAGTAAATATACTAACAATAAAATAGTTCCCTTGATGGCCACTGCTGACGCTAGCATCTGGATGTGGAAGCATAATCTTTGTTTAAAATTCAAACAATTTAATATCTTACTGCGCCACAAGTTAATACATTTAAATAATTAATAATGGAAAATATGTTGCTGGAACACTTTAAGAGACCGGACCTAAATAGAATACGATATTAGTATATTTTTAGTCAAGATACTAAAACAATAAAGTAGTTTATTTTATTGCCGCTGCTAGCGCTGGCATCTGTATCACTGTAGCCTGTATGTGAACCTTCTATTCGTAATATTAATTCAGCATGGAAGCATGGAGATACAACTTCTATGAATTATGATTAATTTGAATCATAAAAATTAACCTAATGCAAGAAATTAGCAATCAATAATTCAACATTGTTTTGCAAGTTTTGTACTAATGGAACTACGGAAAACTACATTAAATACGTATTGGCAACTTAAGCTAAAAAAATGCACTGCAGCTGCAATCAGCTGTGAGAGAAGATGCCAGAAAGCACGATGGATTCAATTTAGTCATTTTTGATTTGAAATCGGTCTCAGTTCTTTGTACTAGGAGCGTAAATTACAGTGTAAAACCTATTAAAAGTTTACGTTTCTGCGTGAATTTTGATGCTGTTAGCATTGAAATACTTGAAAGTATCTCTGATGCAAGAAATACTGGCTAAATACATTTTAATTTAGAAATTAACATCAATCAAAATTACTGTTGTTCAGGCTTTAGGGCTATGTTGGTTCTTGCGAACCGATTGTTGCATCCAGTCGCTTATATTGAAAATAAAATTATTTTAGCAAGTATTTCTTGCATCAGAGATAATTCAAAGTTTGTTAATGTTAACAGTATTATAATCCATGCAGAAACATACACTTTTTACATAGATATTAAAAATTTAGGCTCTATGACTTGTATACTATGCGTATAGGATTTCAAATCGATGCATGCATTCAAATTCAAATAAGGCCCACCCACGGCCAGTGTAGCTGTCAGCTCACCTCTCTTCAGAAGTGTGAAAGCTTTTGCCAGTGAAGGTGTGTTTTACGATCGGTCCATAAAGAAGCATTGATCGGTTCAAAATGACATAAGACCAGGTTCTTTTGAATAACCTATAGAATTGCACCATGTCTGTATCTGTAAGCTTACCACTGTGCAGAGAGTGGATGAATATTGCAAGATCTTTGGCGACACTTCAGTAGCAAAATTTACGCCTTCAGAAGATCTTGCCGACACATTTAGATTGAAATTCTTTCATTTAATATATTTGTCAGTCTTTGGCCAACTATTTTAAAAAAGTAGGGTTTCCAGTATGTTGGATTGATCAGTATGCAGTGAAGCTTGTCCGGAAATCAGTTGCGATGAGTTCCCGCCAAAAAAATGTAAACATCAAGTTTACGATTATGTAGTTGCGGTCACATTAGAGCGGTCACACTGCATTATCACATGTTCAGTTGACACTTGCTGTACAATCAGACTGTTTTTAGGGTAAAATTAGTTATTTGGGGTAACACATGCATGCAACCTCGTAAATAAGTTCGTGGCTTGTAAATAGTTTTTCATTACTCAGCATAAATGGCTTTTAATTGAAAATTACCTGGCGACGCATCTTAAAATTACCCGGCGATGCTTAGGGATTAAAAACCCATATATTGGCGATGCTGCATCCACCCTCTGCACCATGGTAAGCTGACAAGTTACAGGACAGATTGTAATTTCATACCATTTTAATTGGGTCAAGTGAATTCCAGGGTGCAGAAGGTGAGCAGCGTCGCCAATGTATGGGTTTTTAACCAAAGCGTCACCGAACATTTTCAAAATGCGTCGCCAGGTAATTTTTAATGAAAAGCCATTTATGCTGAGTAATGAAAAACTATTTATAAGCCACAAACTTATTTACAAGGTTGCATGCACGCGTTATCTCAAATAACTAATTTTACCCTAAAACAGCCCGATTGTACAGCAAGTGTCAACTGATTACGTGTGTTGATGCAGTCTGATTGCTCAAATGTGACCGCAACTACATTTTGTTTACATTTTTATGGGTGGGAACTCATCACAACCGATTTCCGGACAAGCTTTACTGCATCCTGATCCATCCAACGTACCAGAAACCTTACTTTTTTAAATAGTTAGCCGAAGACTGACAAATATATTAAATGTAAGAATTACAATCTAAATGTGTTGGCAAGATCTTCTGAAGGTGTAAATTTTGCTACTGAAGCGTCGCCAAAGATCTTGCAATTTTCATTCACTCTCTGCACAGTGGAGTGAATTCACTATACCTAACAAGAAAAGATCATTAAAAACATACCTGAAACAGAAAGGAATATTGTAGTGACAACCATATTTTTTTGGAGTAAATTGGAGAAATAAATCATAGTTAAGGTTAATTTCTTTTCATTTTATGTTGCCTGGTGCACAATTCCATCTATGAGTCATTATATGCACAATTTAGTAATGACCAATGATGCATTAATTTTTCTATATGTGATTTTTTTTCGCTGAACAAGGTAAATGTAATCAATATTTTTTGTTTATTGATTTTTTAGTTAACTGTAGCCTTTGCTAACTGAGGTTCTACTGTAAATACGTTTTTAGGGGTGTCCCTAACAGTCCCTTATCTCCCTTATTACCCCGTCCTGCGGAAATGGCCACCATTTTTTTGCGAATGAGATAGGTGAATTCCATCAATTGCATTTTTAAGCCAGCACCAGTGTGCAACTTTTATGTAAGTAAAATTTTTTAATATTGTGATTTTTTTTTTTTTTGCTACAGACCTTAGCAGAGGTACTTTTCCAAAATTGCACTTTTCACACTTTTTTCAGGGATTTTTTTAAAAGTAGGAAATGTATGATTTTTTAACTTGCAGTATGCTACATAGATAGGCAAAATGTTGAATTGTATGCTACTATTTGTTATTTTGCATTATTTTTATTAGCTTAGCTGCTACAATGTTTTTATGAAATGTGGGATAACTGTCACAATTTACCTCGCCTGTCCTGTATTACCCCCATTCGATGGTAATTCGCAATATATGTATGTGTCTGAAGGCAAAGATTTTGATGCTGATGTGTTGCCTAAAACCATCAAATATTCATCCTCTCTGCATCCTGGGGTTCTTTGCACCCTGGCTCTGAACGGGCATTTTACCTTTCAAGGCGTGACAAGGACTTTCCTGCCATTTTTTGAAGCTGTGAGATTCCTGCAAGATGAATTACCTCCTATCTACTTGTTAACAAAAGTGCATGATTGGGCTGTAAAATTCAAAATGCATAAAAATATATCTTTTGGACCTGTAAGATTTCCTTCATAACTCATAAGTAGGAAAATTCTAAACCTATAATTTGGTTTCATCAATCCTATGATGATGCATCATAGGAAACTATGATGCATCTTTGACAAAAACAGAATAGGTATTTCATTAGTTCAAGTAGTAGGTATTCATTGTTGTTGGTATGGTGACAAACCCAGGCTGAGTAAACATTGATTTTTTATGTATGGGTAATTTAAAAAATGAATTATGTTTAAACATGCTCTAATCAACTATTCAAACAAATTTTAAAAATTTCAAATTTTTTGCATTAAAAAATTTGTTTGAAAGTTAGCTGTGATCGATAATTTTTTTTTTTTTCAGATCTTTGAGCCAAAGCTCACGGAGAAGAAGAAGAAGAAAAAGACTGGATTCAATTTGGAAGCTGCCCTGACCGAAGCCACTCCTGATTCAAATATTGATCCTCTCAATGGTGTTGAAAATGGGAAAGATGAAGCACATGATGGTTAGTTATTAATTATAATGTGTCGTATTGAAACTCTTGGAGACAAATCTAACTTGTCCCTCTTGAATCAGTTGTGATTCCTGATTGAATAACCACTTGAATTAGGTTGAATTATGGCTGAGCTTAGTTCTTATAAGTTAGCTTGAATTTATATAAACTCCTGAGTCCTGACTGATATCAACTCTTGACCAATATTCCATTAATCAGACGTGCATCCAATCTTGGCTAGAACTTTCCTCCCTAATAAATGATCTTTAGGTACCTCTTGTTCACCCAAGTGATCTTAGCAATGGTTTCTTACCATTTATTACTGCTTAACTTCAAAACAAAGGAGTTAGGCATTTTTAAATTATATGGTAGTCCATTGAAATGATATTAATTAGAATCCATCAACATCCTGATCTTTTTTAGTTTTCTCTTTGAAATGACTTAGGATTTATATATGTATTTTAGCAAGTCATTATACCTTGCACTTGGATTTCATGATGTTGACAGATGAACATGATGATCATTTAAAATTCCTATTAATGAAAATTGTTTCAGACACAGAATTTCTTGGAAAATCCAAGAAAAAGAAGAAGAAGCCCTTCAATTTTGACGACTTGAATGAGGTCCTCGACTCGAGTGCTCCCACCACCGGGAGTGCGGTAGAAGTGGAACCTCCTGAAGAACCCACAGATGATGGTGAGTCTTGACTTCAGACTTGATTATAAATGAATCTGCTTGAGAAATTTAAATGGATTGTGTGAATTGTAATGTTTTTCTGTGGTAGTAATAGGCTTTTATTGTTACATTCTAATTACTTCCCTCCTTGGTATTTATTCTTAAATAATGTTACTGAGGATCACGAAAAATTTGTATAGACAAATTATCAGATTCTTCTTCTAAAATTCAAGTTATATGCTTAAAGTCTTATCCAATTTCTTCAACTATTTAAATTGTGCTATATTTAACACTTGGGATCGTTTATGTGTAAGCCTTCAATATCTGTTTTTTTTTGGCAGAATTTTTATTATTATTGTCTGTTTTTCAGTTATTGATTGCATTAAGCTTTCATTGACATAAGTAGTAAGTACATATATATTTATGGTAAATTTTCTGTGACAGTTGACAACACCAATTTGGAAATGGACCTCGAGTTTGACTACTCCTCCAAGAAGAAGAAAACCAAGTCAAAGAAAAAGGTGGACATTGAGAAGCTCATTGCTGACGATGATAAGGATGGTCAAACTGAAGACAGGGAGATGGGTGAGTCTTGCATTGTCTTTATTTTGTTTTGTCCAACTTTGGCCAATATCAGCTAATATTCTTTCTTGTATAACTGTGGCAAATATTTCAACTTTGTATGGAAAGACTTGATACCGGTACTTACGATACACTTCTATCTGCTAGGTTATGGTTGCTACTACAGAGTTTGAAGGTACTACCTTTTTCTGTGATTAATTGCAGTTTTTAGTATGAGGAATGTATGTTTTGACATAGGTACATTTATTGGTATTTTTGCCTACTGTGACCTTCATGTAATTAACTTGTGTTTTTTTTGCAGTTGTTCATACTTTTTTAATTCCATGTACCTCATTGGACAAATGCTGATACTCTTTCTAATGATAATAAGAAGCAAGGTTCTAGTAGGTGGTGGGCTCCTCTTGCTGCTGAGTAATAACGTTTTCTCGACTCGTGTTGACTACATTTCTTGCAGGCTACATATTTGTTATCAATGTTGTTATCAGTGGTCTTGATGTTGTCATTAGCTCAATGCCGTTGTTAACAGCATCGTGTGTGTGCGTTAATAATTGGTTTTGATGTTCTGAAAAGTGTGTGAGTTTATCCAGAGACTTTGAGCTACAAACCAGAGCTTTCTGAATCCCTGTAGTGATGTAAACATAACTTGTGTGTGACTCCAGTTGATTGTAAACCTATTTACTGCTTTATCCTGAAATAAGATCTCTCATCAACATGGTAAAGGTATTGTGTCAATGCATAAGCTGCTTGTCTGAGGCTTCATTAAAATGCTCGCTTTGTTCACCACCATGCTTGCTAATAGAAGAATATGGGGCCCATGCCGTGGACGAAGCTGGTGAGTTATGTTTTACATTCTTTGAACTATTAATTGTTGGCAGTAAATGTGACAGTAAAATTCCCTTGTATCCATAAACTTTGTCATGCACGCTTTGTTGGCCTTGTGTTGTTGCTAAGCTGCAGATAGTTCACAGGGACTAGTTCAGCTATAAGGGGGGACTAATTTAGCCAATACTTTCCATATTGTGGAAACTTCAGGCTACTCTTCAAAAATGCAAGGCTAAGAATCCATTTTCTTTGAGTAACGGAATTACAAAATTTCCTGGGGCTGGATTTTAAAAACTTTGTATCTTTCTATACAAACTTCAAGAAGATTTGTGTTACGTAAGTACACCCTAATTTTGGCATTATCAAAACTTTTGCTCGCAAGACTCGTCAGGGAAGTTATTATCAAAAAAATCTGGCTAACTGATCAATCAAAGGCTTTGAATTTGCCATCCCTAGCTCCTGTTGTCTCGGTGCGCAGTGCACGTGAAAGAAAGGAGGTTGTGTCGTGTCAGCAGCATCTGTGTTGACTGACTGGGGAGCATATGAAGAAATGAGTGAGACCTCCAAATAGCAATGACAGCGCCTTCATTGCAATTTTTTGCAATAAAGGCTATAAATTACATTATTCCCATTCAAAATTGAAGGACTTATCTAGAAAGCTACCTAGAATTTAGAAGATTTTGTGAGTTGGAGGTGCTACTATCAGCAGAGAAAGAAAGAAATTTGTTTACGTAGCTAGAAAATAGTTGGCTTGTCAACCTCAACAGGCTCCACTTAATTTTGAATCAAAAAATAATGAAGATACTGTTTTAGTGAATGATCATAAAACTCTTAGATATGAATATCAACATTTGCTTGTAAATTATAGCACAAAAGGAAAAAAAATTAGCTGGCATAACTTAATTGAAATTTTGTTTCCAAAAAGCTCCATTTAGCACAATAACATATTATGCCTTTGTTGAATTATTGACAGAATTCTATCACAATTCACTGTGTTGCAAGTAAATCAATAGTTTTATATTGTTTTGGCACACTCAAACCGTCTACGTAACTCCACTTACGACACCTCCGAGCAGGCATAAAGCTACGTACAACTTCTTGTTAGTAGCTTCCCGCTCAAATGTTTTGATAATACCATCGCTAGAGGTACGTCTCCATGTCAGCAATTATGCCACACGTAAGTCGCTACGTGTACTTAGCGATGTTTTTATAATCCGGCCCCTGCTCTTTTGTGATGTACTTATGAATTTATCTGGTTTAAATGCATATAATGCTTTACATTTACTAAAGTTCTATGTGGTAGACTTCATCAGTGCATTAAACATTTGAAATCAACTTGATAACAAATATCTTAAATTGTTATTGATATTTTCTCCATTTATTTTCTAGTATAGGCCTCCATAACGCTATTTGAAATATTGCTGTAAGTTGAAAATATTGATAAGCAGCAACAAAAATTATTCCATAAGTATGAAATATTCATCTGCTACAATCAAAATTGTTTGTGATGTATTGATTCATATTAGACAGCATCTATTGGGGTTACAATAAAAAAAATTTGATTTGACACAAAGTTAGCCCTCCCTTGCACTCTTTGAACGAAACTCATTGTATTACTCACGTGCTTCTTCCTCTCTCAGAACAACTGTCGCCAATGGATGACCAAGGTTCATTTTTTCGTCCATCCCATTTGTCTGTCTGAGACTGATATGCATGTTCCTTTCTTGAGTGCATGCAATATGTATGGAAGACATTTCCAATATATTTCTCTGTGATTATAGTGATGAATTTTAGTAATGCCTAAAAATGTAGAAAAAATTCTGCAGTCTGTCACTTTTTTTTGCTGATTTTTGATTGCTATGATTTTGTTGCAATATCAAGAGCTGCTTGACATTGGTAGGTGATGTGAGCCAGCAACTCGGAACTTAGTGAAATCATTTAGCTAGCATAAAATTAGAAAAGTCCTGGTGGTGCTGGTCCAATATAGTGACGCAGCAAGCAACATCTGTGAGCATGTTCTTTGCCTATTAACATTTTTCCAGGGATCTTGTTCAGCATCAATAGTGATGAACATGAATATTTTTTGAGTACCGACTCTCTTTCTTTATTTACATTAACTATTGTGGCATCATTTTGAATTTGCTAACTTTGACAACACATGAATGCTGTCTCCTCAGTAACCTTGTTAATATTTCTCACAAATAGACTTTAAAACTTGATTAGTAAGCAATCAAAACAAACCTCATAAAATAAAATGCAACAAAATTTCAATTTGGTTTTTATTTGTACATTTTTGTTCCATCTACAAGTAATTACTAAGAACAATAAATTTTCAATAGACATTATTATTGTGATAATAATAATAATGTTTTACACCATTATTAACACGCATCATAGTTAACATGCATAGATTTTTTCTGTATATCAAGGCTTTATTTGCCATTTTTTTGGCATTGCTAATAATTTTTTTGGTATTAATAAAACTTCTACCAGGTTATTGTATAAACTTCAATTCTGAACCACTAGTACATTGTGGCTGTCATTTGCTCTCACCTGTTGCTTTTCTCAGATTTTTATTGAAATCAAGGAAATTTCCTCTTGTTCGAAATCAGGTTTTGCTAGAGCATCTCTTTGAAGCTTGCCAAGCACCTAACTATTGTACTGGTGCAGCTTTTTACAGATGCTCTAATTTTCTAGTCATTATTGAGCTCCACTCATTAGAAGTGATAGATAACTATTTCTAACTATGGTGTATATCAATAACTGTAAATTCTATTGCATTACTATTTAAATGCAATAGTCAATTTGTAATATTTAGATTACTTATTTTCAGCGAGCTTCTTGACTTCTTTGCAGTCACTGCATTGCATGGTCCAAGAGTTTATTGAGAATTTTTTATTATTGCAATATTCAATTTATTTCACATTTGTGCTATTTCATCTTTGCTATGCTATTAGCCTCACCTCTGTACTCTCCATTTCTTGCTCTTTTCATTTGTGTTATCTTGGCTGTTGAGGATTTGTTGCCCTGGGGCCATACTTTCAAAATTCGTTAAGTGAACGTAAGTACTTAGGCTCTATTTTCTTATCTATGATTGGTGGATTTTGCTTGAAAGGCCGTCATTGATTGGCTGATGAAATTACGATCACTTAACTTTTTTTGGAAGCATAGGCCCAGTTATGAGATTGTCGCTGGAGCGCCGCAAAGCTCTGGAGGAGAGTTTTGCTGAAGTGGTGCGGGGTGTTCACTGTGTGCCTGAGCTTGTTGACAAACTGGGGGAGAAGGACATAGGTTATTTACTCATTCAAGACATATGATATTACTAATTCAAGGTAGAAAATGGCGACTGAGTAGAGCAAACTAAAGTGCTTCATGAAGTAATTTGTAGCGTTAAATGTTTTTAGACAAACTGGATTAGAGCATTGGAAAGAGGAATGGATCAAAAGTTATAAAATAGTAATTATTATGTGTAGCACTTGATTTATTTCTGGGTAACTGAATATTTTTTATACTTCGTTAATTTCAGCCTTATGCGACTGACGAGTTTAGTTTTTTTTCAGTAGCAGTGTTAATCTAACTGGGAGGGGGATTATGCTTTGAGAGACCATGGAGGAGTAGCAGCATAAATTGTTACGCGGATTTCTCCTAAATCTATAAATTTATCAATGTATCGCAATACACGTGCTAAAACATATCAATAAGGTTAAGGTAGAGAATAATTCGAAAGGTGGAGAATAATTTCAACGGATTAATTCTAAGAGCCATATGACGCGTTTGAATGAATGTTGATTGCATGTTGCTATAAATCCACGGCACACCCTCTCCGCGTCATCGTTTTCAACTTCATTTGCACCTGTCCTTAATCAGTTGCACGTCGATACACGTTGACCTTAAAATTTGTAACAGATGACGCGTGGGGCGACAGCGAGCGCGACTACAGCTACGACGAGCTCGTGCAGAGAGCGTTCGACCAGCTCAGGCTCAAGAACCCGGAGATGGCGGCCGGCGAGAAAATCATGAAGCCTCCTCATGTGAGTTCTTGGTGGCTGACATAAATGTCATGTAATGTAATGTAATAGCGGTTTCAACGTTTATTAGGCCGTAGGCCTGTCGCCGATTCTTAACATCGCAGAACATTCCCAGCATTTTGCGGTCTCAAACTCGCAACTCACTGCTACAATTCTGCTGCGCTTAACCGCCCGGCCTCCTCGCCGATTCTGACCAGAAACTGGCGCATAGAGCTGGAATCGAACCCGCACCTCTCTGCGTTAATCTTGGTACTCTGAACTGTAACCACTGGGCCACCCTGCCCTTGATGTCTAATATATTATTACATGATACCTGCGAGATTATTTAAATGATCAATGTAGTGCAATTTGGCTGGTAGGTTGCGAACGACAGTATATCATAAACTAGTTGCTTTTCTTTGAGATGATATTTAAAGATGTGTCGTGCTGCTGCAGGGAAAAGCAAACCTTACAAATTTCCTTTGAATTTGTAATTGTAAATTCTGCTGATCGTTTACTAATAATATTTGAATCATGTTCTGTTTATAAATGGTTTTAGATTTAGCTGCATTGATGAAGATTGACCCTCTTGACTGGTGTTAAACTGGCATATTGAAGTTGCTTGCTTGCTCCTTAATTCTTCCTCCAAGATTGAACTAATTCAAAATGTTTGGTGCCCATTTTAGATGTGTTGCTTACAAACAAGCCAAAATTTCATGCATTGGACAGCTACGTGACTTACTGCATTTTGTGTTGCAGGTGCTGCGTATTGGCTCCAAGAAGTCGGCCTTTGTAAACTTCTCGCACATTTGTCGGCTGCTGCACAGAGTACCGCAGCACGTACTACAGTTCCTGCTTGCTGAGCTGGGAACATCAGGCAGCATTGATGGTCTGGCAGAACTTCAATTGCTCTGCTTAACTACCACACATGATGCTTATATCGCATAATACTGCAGTCCCCGCTTGCTGAGTTTGTAACTGGCAATACTTGAGCTGTTGAGTTGCTGTGCTCAAGTGCAGTACGTTATAAAGAACAGTACTTATATGACTGCGTTGTACACACTATTAATTTATATAAATATCGCTATATGTATACCGGACGGCAGCTCGTTGATGTTCATGCATTAGTTGGATCGGTCAATGTGAGTCTGACTATTAGCTGACCACAATTTCAATTCTTGATTATTTGTCAGACTGAATGTTCTTGTTTGCTTTATTGAAAAGCGCCAAATGGAAGCACAGCTCGTTGAATAACTGGATAGCTTATTACCTGATCAATTAATACGTGTGTAGCTAAAGCAAAAATTTCTTCCACAGGTAATTGTCAACTGATTATTAAGGGCAGGTTTCAGCAGAAGCAAATCGAGAACGTATTGAGGCGGTAAGTTATTGAATTTTTTTTTCTTGCTGTTGAACAGCTAAGCTGTTTTTGTTTTTAAGAAAATTTCTCGCATGAATTTTGAAACACTCCAACAAACGTATTTTATTTAGCCTTCTAGAAAACTGGAATGATGTTCACATGTTCTACGAGATTGGCTTGTTTTTTAGTGTGTACACATTGATTAATGAGTTTACAAAACATTGAATGAGTGTAAACCGGCATTGTGTTCACAGGTACATTAAGGAATACGTGACGTGCCACACATGCCGCTCCTCGGACACCATCCTACAGAAGGACGCCAGACTTTATTTCCTGCAGTGCGAGCAGTGCAACAGCCGCTGCTCCGTTGCTCCCATCAAGAGCGGCTTCCAGGTGAGTTCTTCACACTGCCTTGCTAGTCTCTGCCTTTGTCATATAACGTGTATGTACGGGCATCAACGCTCTTCAATGGAGGGCGTACCATCGAAAAGCGCCTAAGTACATGTAGTGGCCTAATTGTTCAGAGCGGCTGATTTCTCGTAAATGATAAGTTGGTTTATCTAGATTTAAAAGGCGTCAGTGATTAGCTGACGCAGTTACTAACTTATAACTTCTTCAGAAACTACGGTCCTAGTCTCTAGATACAAATACCATGTATGCTAGTGCATGTAACTGTACTTAAAGCGCCAAAGTTTTTTTTTTTTGCTTATGCAAAGGCTCCTTGTTTCTTTAAAACGTAAATTTTCGTCCTCGTGGCGTTTCATACAATATTTCATTACTTAGCTATAAAGTCAATCCTTTCGATGTTTTATTATTATCCCAATTCATTACCATCATTATAGTAACGAGGAAGCAGTGGCTAACGTAATTTTCATCAGCGTTTGAAGATTTTCATATGCGTTCTGCATTAAGATTTCCTGCAATTGAGTTTCAGCAATTTTCCATTAGTCTTATATCCGATAGTTACTCTGTTCGTTAAGATGCATCTATGTTGTGATGCATCCATTACATATTCACCAAGTATCGCTGATGCATCATCCACTTATCAACTGTATCTATCTACTTAAGTGACATCGATGCTATTGATCCTTTTTGATCGTGTGCAGGCTGTGGCGAACAAGCAGCAGAGACAAGCTATCAGGGCAAGCAAAAACTAAGCTAAAGTCAGCTCCTAGTCTGCTCTGTCCCACACTACTCTGTGGCCAGCCCCACACTTCCATGCTCTGCAACTGCTGGTGTCAACTCTGCAGATGTTGGTATCCGCGACTTGCAAGACTGCGTCTTTTCTTACACAGCGTCCCTAATTTCGATAGATCCACACTTGCTTGTCACTACCAGTCGTTTTTTCATTATTATTACTTTTCAGTATAATTATTTATAAAATTATTCATTTTGAATTGTGAGTTACGATGAATCTGAATTGATATTAATATTGTGAAATCATGCCGTCGCAATTACAAATGCATCCCACTTCTGTGTTGTTTGTGAATTATTATCTTTATTCTATTGAGGTAGCTGAGTCTGGTATCTATGTCTAACGTTCAATAGACTGGGTTACGATGCTTCTCTTGTGTCACTGGGCGTTTGGCACTTAGATTCCGTGTGACTGAACTGACTTAGATTCCAATATGAAATCTCGCACGAAGTGTGAGATTTCTTTTCGAACGGTCAGAAGAATAAAGCCTAGGTTACGATGCTTCTCATGTGTCACTGTTTGGTACTTAGATTCCGTGTGACTGACAAGAAGTGTGAGATTTCTTTTGAACCGTTCAGAAGACTAAAGCCATCTGCTAAAACTCCTCTAATCTTATGTTATTATTTCGATTGTTCGTCCACGTACCCAAAAGAATAAAGTTGTTCATGCTGTCCAATCACATTATTGTAGCAATGATATAACCAGACGCGTACCAGGTGTTGCGATATACCTTTCACATGTACATACTTCATCGACTTGGTTAGAATATTTGTTGTTCTAGGTTCAGTAGCGGGAGAAGGAGCCTCTCATATACATGGGCTTTTTGTTATCAAATGCCGAAAACATGATGCTTGAACAGTAGGAATCGAACTTTTTAGCCAAGTACGGCGAATGTAGCCCGTTTCTTATAGCTTTTATTATTGGAGGCATCGTCAAGAGAGTTGTGTGCGAAACTAGTATGCTTGGATAGCTGTAGGCGAGTTGAGTAAAGGTCAATGAGTATTGTAAGCTATGTATCTTATCCATGATATTCTAGATTTTTTAAAGCATACGTAAGCAAAAACATTAAAGTCAATGTAATTCGACGTAAAGGTTCAGTTAAAAATAAAGAATCTGAAAGTATTTTCACCTCCTTTACTTGAACATAGCATTTTACAAACCTGACAGTATCTTTTACTTCTTGCGCCATCAATTTTTTCCCCCCTCTCAATTACCCTAAATTCAGTAGCAGTTAGACCTATCAGTGAGTAAGCAAATAATGAAAACATCTATCCAAGATACCGGCGCTGCCAGTAACTAAACACGCAAATCCTGCAAATTTTTCTCCTTGTGCAGGCAAATTGCCCCGGGATATGGTATTGCTCAAAGGTTCGATTGCTAAACTCTTAGTTTAAGACACGATATTTTCTGGAGTTGCATTCCCGCTCAGAGTGCTCGTTATTTTTTGAAAATTGGCGGTAACGTCTTGATCATAGAAACCTTCCGATTCTTGATGGAGTTACGTCCACTCTTTTCAATTTCTCCATCGCCGGTTTTGTACGTCACTACATTTTCTATCACTAGGATTATCGTCACCGAGGGCATTGTACGAACATGGACAATATTTGTCTCAACAAATGGCATTATCTTAAAAGACATCAGAACACTTCAGCGGAATCTTTTTTTATGAATTCCCGTACGTCATCATACGTGATAAACGACGAGTTTTTCTCCCATGTGCAGACCGTGGAAGTTAGATAGCTGCCATTCAATGCAAGAGGAGGCGCTGTATAACGTGGTATATTCTCTTCGTCTGAATGCTTGAGATAACCTTGCGACTGCTCGTGTGTGACTGCGGCATTCTTTGGAAAATTTAACTCGTTCCTCCCACCACCTTCATCGTAGGTCGTTTTGAGGAACTTTACATTTTCGGGTAAAACGTAACCATTGTTAACCAAATTCGGTTTGTTAAAATTTTCGATTTTGTCAATACTCTTCATCTCACCGATTGTGGCTATCTCTGGAAGGTACATAATATCAGATTTTCCATTCTCAATTAAAAGCTTTTTCATATTTATGAACTTCTCAGCTTGGACGTAGCCACGTGAATCAAGTTGCAGCGTCATGTCATTCTTGGCATCCATTCTTCCTTCTATTTCCGTAATCGCAGCGCTTGTGGCAGAGCTGGTCAAATCCAACATGTAAGAATCGGCATTCGTAAGAGGTTTAATTTTCATGTAAGGGTTAGTTTCATCTTGGACGTGGCTTCGGGTATCTGGTAGCGGCAATGTGCTATCTGCAGCGTAACCAATGCCATTTGTTGCTGGGATTGCATGATTACTTGGAAGGTCAAGCGTGTGCGAAACCGTAGCCATAACAGGTGGAATTGCCATGTTTGGGTCATCTTCATCTGAGAGTGTAGCATCATCTGAAAAGTCTAACATCAAAGAAACCGAAGCCTTCACAGGTTCAATTACCGGATGTGGGCTGACGTAGCCACATGAAAGTGACTGTGACAGTGCATCATTTGCGGTATCTTTGGTGCCTTGATTAACCTCCTGGATCTCAGAAATATTCACAGTGATATTTCTTGAGAGCGGAGAAGATATCAATTTCTGAACACTGTCAGCCATGATGTAACCATGTGAGGGTGATACAACCTTTCTGTCCAAGTCTTTGGTGATATTATCTTCCCCAATATGAGCACTTGTCGGGCTAACCAAGACGTAGGGGCTCACTCCACTGGCGTGTATCCGTTCAATTACGCCGTTTTGATCCCTCATTGCCGTGTTGTGGTCCATGGTTTCGTCACGCATTGGTTCGTTTCTCGTGGTTTCGGTACTCAAAGTTCCCAGTGCGACGTAAGGATGGGCTTCGTTAAAAGTAATTTCAGAGACATTTTGGTCCGTAGGAAGAGGCTCGGAGGTTCGGAGCATCACGTACCCGGGGTACCCGGACGCTGTTGTTGGGTTCTGAGCTGGATTAAACTCTTCCTCGTCTTCACTTTCATCAAATTCTATTTGAGAATAAGATGAATTCCTCACCTCATTGGACGTCGAGGGAAACATGAGCACAGAAGTCTCGTCTGAATTTACCTCACTTGGATTTTGCCCGACGTCATGAGTTTGCTCATTGGTACCAGAGGCACAAACTGTACGTCCGCCTACTAGGACACTGTCCTCGGGTGGCGAGAATAATAGGGAAATAATCTTCCTAGTTTCAGATGGAGGTTCCTTGGCAGCTGCAGTAACTGGCGCAGTCTCCAGTCGTTGGTGGGAGATCGAAATATTGGGAGGGACAGATTTCCGTCCTCTGACGATCGTCTGCGAAAAAAGCTGCCAGGTTATGAGTTTATGACGTAAAAATCTACTTGAAAGTAATTTGGTAGTTTAATATTTGTAAAAGCTTCATCGTAATCATCAGGCTAGTCACATAATGATCGTAACAATAAAGGAAGTATATCGAGATACTTGCGTAACTTTTTTTGCAACTATCAAGCTACCAACTTAACTCAAAAGCAACTATTGAAGCGATCGAGCCACTTTCGTAATTATGAAATTAATATCTTAACAAAAGAGCTGCTTTCGCATCTTCGTAGCTAATATCATAACTATAAACTATCAACCTTATATTGTGACTAGCAAGACCAAAAAATCAATGAAAATTTGCGGGATGCTTACCGAAGGGCCAGAGAAGTCAGGCACGCTGAGAGGATCTGTGGCGTCTTTGATGGACTTGTGCACACACCTGAGGATAGAAGCAAGCAGTGAAGGACTGCCACGCGTCAACTAACGTAGTTACGTCGCAACGCAATTCACCAGACTCCACTAGTTTCGGTATTGCTGCTGGTCAAACTAATAATTTTGGCTCAGGATTTAATTCATAGCCTAATTTATTCATTTACATCAAGAACGCAGTTTACATGAATATTTGCAGGTTTTTTATCGGGATATTGAGTTTGTTTCCTCAGTCGGCAGACGTCTTTTCTGTTGCATATTAATGCACTTTTGGTTAAATATTTGATATAGCAACATATGATTAGACGCGTTAAAATCTCACTAATTAAAGCGTTGTAATAAAATAATCGGATCTGAGGAGCATTTCTTGTACGAAACCTTTTACTGTAGAGGAAGACGGACACCAACAGCGTCGTGAACAGTAGCGCCCCACTGGCCAGCAGCACCACATGCCACCACAGCAAGTCTGCACACAACACAACATCAGGGACTGTAAACACCAAACACTCACCACAACACATCACTTCCGTGACAATAAACACTCACCACAACACACCACATCAGTGACTGTAAACACCAAACACTCATCACAACACATCACTTCCGTGACAATAAACACTCACCACAACACACCACATCAGTGGCAAACACTCACCAAAAAACATCATATTAATAACCTCAAACATAGTTCAGTGAAACATTGCACAATTCAATTGTGATACGCACAATATTGTAAAATTAACATTATTATTGTGAAACATATTGCGTGTAATATTGTAGAATCTATCGGAATATATTAAATTCTCACAATTAAAATATATATGTTGCGAAATTTCCCACTTCGTTGGCTTTTTTTAGATTTATGTTTGTAGTCGCTCCGCTTAGTATAATAATGACTTGTGAATGATAGTGATTGATTAAAGGCGGGTGTCTGTACATAGTTTACTACTAATAAACATTATTACAAACAACATAAAAAATTGTAGAGACTATGAATGAACGGATATTTTCATATTTTAATGAAGAGACATCAGACTTAAAGGAACCTTTGGGTCGCGTGCGGAAGACAAGAGGCTCGTCGGTCACAGTCACGTTGCCGTCCGTGTACAAGACTCTGAAAGAGCAACAAAGTCAGATGTTCTATTCGTGTAATTAATAATTAAAACGTGGTTATCATGAGAATTTTTCATGGAAACGATCCTTTGTGGCCATGTTATTGAAATAGAATAATAAATTAGTGTACAAACTTGGCTCGTGCTCACGGGTCTTAAGGGCGCCTATCATTGTCATAAATTGAGCGTATCCAAACACCGAACATGGTCAATGACTTGAGTTCCCGATGTATATAAGGTTTCCATTCGTAAAAAATAATAACCGTTTTAAAATATTCTTTTAGTGATAAGACAGACTTAGGGCAGTGAAAGTTTACACATTTCCTGATTTCGAAAAATAATTCGCGGCGTCACCTCAGAGTGGCGTTGTAGCGCGTGTCGCTCTGCAAGTTATCCAAAAAAATTTCCTTCTGCCACACCGCGACTACAGATTCTGAAACAAATGAAATGCCTGTTATACAATAATTCTGCGTACGGGATCCCTGCTAAAAAAACACCCCCGTTGGGGGTGTGGGTGAGCAAAATATGTCTTCGTATACTCAGAGAAATGAAGGAAACTCTGTCCAACTAGCAACGCTCTTCTTGTACTGTGCACGACGTGTTTTTTGGACAAAGTGTTGAAGTGACAAAGCACGACGTGTTATTTGGACAAATCACTTATACTAAGCATCATCACATTCCCATTACTAAGCATAAACACAACGCTTTTACTAAGCATAAATATATCACTTTTACTGACTTCATGCACGTGTATGGCAGACTTATATTGCACCGAGCTAGAGAAACGGGGGCGGAAATTGAGGAACTTATCGTAACTTTGATCAAATGTCAAAGATCTGTTGAGACGTGTTAAGCGATATTCTCTTCACGTCATAGTAGGAAACTTCGTAGTTGCCAATTCAGTTTTAATTTCTGATTTGCTGTGAGATTTCATTTCGATTTTTGCACTTCGTAGTTGCCAATTCAGTTTTAATTTCTGGTTTGCTGTGAGATTTCATTTCGATTTTTGCATGAAAGTTGCTGGTCTCCATAATACGTTGACTACTCATGCAACTCAATAAGGGCCTCTTAGCAGACCATTCCCTTGCTTAGCAGACCATGCGAACGGACTGCGTTATCTGTGCAAGAGTTATCTTGTCTTAAAGCTAAACTAAAAATCGGGTACGACGGCCCCTAAACTATTTTTATTGGGACCCATGTAACTATATTAGAACATTAAAGATATATCATGTCTCCATTAACCCAAACAATTCATAAATTAACGTCTGATGTTAATTTACGGTTATTTAAATCTATAAAGAGGAGAGATAAGTTGACATCTGACGCCCTCTCCATCAATTCCAATTGCGTCAGGCTGTATTCTCACCTAAATAAATCATAAATTCAAGAATTATATAATGAAGGCGCGTATTCACCATTACACATGTCGGGGCGACACAGGACGAACTTCGTGGCGGCGACCAGACGAGGGAGGCACTCAGGACGACGCAGCACCAGGGCGGAGTGCCACGTCCTAAGGACAGGGTACAATTTCAGGGATGGTGGCGTGCATATTCAAGATCAATATAGCCTAATAACGTTATCAGTTTTAAAATATTAGTTAAATATGAAAGTACATTATAGATTTACATTTTTAGCTCAATATTATGTGCGAACTTATTCATGTATAACTCCTACTGTATTAGGTATACCCTGACTGTGGTAGCATTAAATAATTAAAATTCATTCGGTGCAATTTTCCCTCAACTTGGCAAGATAGTTATGTTACAAAATTATGCAGGTAGGCAAGGGTTAAATTATACGTCTATTAGAAATTTCCTTGAATCATCGTTGAGACTGGTTACCTGTTCACACTCAATTAATTTAACCCATTTCGTCAAGGAGCTATAGTTTTCACTATCAATAATCTATAGCTATAGTTTTATTATTATTATTGATCGGAGTTTTAGTTTTCACTATCAATATTTAGTAAGGTCTTTTACTTTCATCACAAGGACCAATGCATTTATGACCGAAACTTTTGTCCCTAATGCCATACATTATTTTACATGCAGCATGGCTTCTTCATTAAAATTCATTCAATGAAGTGACAGTAGGAAAACAGCTCATTTACATTACTTAAAGAAATATTTGTGTAATCAGTGCGAGCGGTTTATATAAGCACTGCACTTACAAATAAACACGATTTTAAAAGAGAAAATACAATGTATATAAATGTTTCAGATTTTTAGATCAGGCAAAATGCGTTTTTATGGTGCATTATATGGAGTAACAAGGGAAAATTTATAGGTTTTTGTGTTCCGTCATGTGTTTCGTTGTAAGGGCATTAATATGCTCTGTGTGAATTTAGCTTTTCTCTGTTGCTAGTCCTGGTATATATTCCTATATTTTTGAACTGATGATGGGGCTGGTCTCCGAAACGTTTTGATTGATGACATGTTAGTTGATGACATGGTAGTTGATGACATGGTAGTTGATGAAATGGTAGTTGACGACATGGTAGTTGACGACATGGTAGTTGATGACATGATAGTTGATGACATGGTAGTTGACATGGTAGTTGATGACATGGTAGTTGATGTAGTTGGTGTTTTCCTTAAAATTCTTGGTGGGGATGAAAACTATGATGATGTTCCCCGTAGACCTCACTTGTTGTTGAGCAGCAGCTGTGGAGGCGCCAGAGGCTCGTCGTCGTATTCAGCACGACACTCCGACCACACCATGCCGCTGCTCTCCACTGCACCACCACACAAATGTCACGGTAGAGAAACTATTCAGAAATTTGTCACAAGTTATATTCATGGAGTTATCATATCAATGTCTGCTCCATAGGAATAATTCCAATTCCTTTATGATTGCTGAGCAGTAAATTGCGTCATGCAATAAATTCAACGACGGGCTTCTTAAGGGTAAATTGATACACGACAAGAGTCTGATTTCGTCCATGTTCAGGTGGTCATAAATCATTGACTGCAAGAATAAATTCTAAACTTCTATTTTGACCGAAAAAAATAACTGCGAGCTTCCAATGCCGGCAATTGTACTATAAAACCTACAAATACAATTTATCCACGTAGGTATCAGAAACGCCACATCTTATGGCTATTCGCCCTCAAACTGCACAGGTCAATCGCTGACGAAAAATCAAAATTATTTAGAATCTTACAATGTTCGAGGAATATAGAAACAGAAATGAACCATTGCCACAAGATTTGAGTAACAAAGTTCCAGTTCTGCGTACCAACACCGTCAGTAGTTCTCTCCGCGGACACTGCGAAGCGCAGTCCGGTGCTGCTCTCGTCCGCGGTACGATATCCTGTGAAGTTGCGCAGGCTGAGAGCCCCGGGACTGGACGGTGCGGGGTGCAGGCTGATGTCCACTGCAGAGATCTCGCCAACCCACAGGAACCCCAGGCCACTCTGAACATTTACGGAAATATGTGATTAGCAGTTACTGGAGTGTATTTCAGCGGTCACGGTAACATATACTGACACCTTACGCAAATTTATACTGGTTAGAAGTTTTTAAGAAGTTCGAATTTTTTTCCAGTCAGAACGCAAAGACAGATGAAGCTTGAGATATGAAACCTTTCTGGTCAGCCGAGTGGTTAGATTATTTTTAAAAAACTTCAAGAAAGCAGAGTGGTTAGTCAATACATCGTGCTATGTTAATAAAGGAAACTATGAATGAGCTGGAAACGGAAACTTCATAGATAAACCTACGGAAAACCAATACCTACTAAAATACAAAAAACTGAATAGCAAACCTCATATAATAGTCCACATTTAAAAGCTGTTAACTCATAAATGAATTTTAAATGGTATAATATGAGACGAGTTACCTTGCACTGCGGCTCGGCGTCCCGGCAGTAGTAGAGGGTGAAGTTGGAGGCGCGACCGTCGCGTGTGAACCATCTGCAGGGGCACGGACACGGGGCACTGAGTGGGCGACGTGAGGGGTAGTGAGTGATGGCAGCGAGTGATGAGCAGATTGAAGGGCTGTGAATGATTGGCTGAGAGTGATGGGCAGCGAGTAATAGTAATGGGCTGTGAGTGATGGGCAGCGAGTAATAGTAATGGGCTGTGAGTGATGGGCAGCGAGTGATGAGCAGATTGATGGACAGCGAGTGATGGGCACATAGTCTCGAGTTACATAAAAAAAGTCTCGGTTTCAACAAGGGAAGTTCCATCCCCCCCCCTCCCCGCACTGACTGCAGTGAAGCAGCAGCGGGGCTGTGAAGGAACAGCGACGTCGGGAAGGCGGGTGCCAGTGCCGCCGCAGCGCCGGCGACGGGGATGTGGTACTGCGCTGGCGCTGCGCTGCGGCAGTGAGTGGACAACCCGCATTGCGTGCGCGGCCGCGTCAGGTTCTGGCAGAGGTTTGCGCTGTACACGTCAATCCTTGAAGAACAAATATCAAGTAATCATGAGAATATTAAAGAGTTCATAAGCAAGGCGAAGGACATTCAATGCATCAAAGGCAATGGAAAATAATGGATATATGATGAGAGGGAGAAAAACGTTCTCAAACAATGAATTTTGGATGAAATTAGCCTGGCAAAGCAGCAAGTAACAAAAAATTATAGTGCAATAATAGTTTCTTCTTTCATGGAGCTGAAGAAATAATTATTCTGAGCCGCAGAGAAAGCTTCATTTTTTCTTTCAAGAGGGTAGGCGAAATGTGACAGTTACCACAGCAATTAACGGTATTTGTCCACTGAATTTTAATTGTCTGTAGAATAACATGTAATTGCCTGCAAGATTACCTATAATTGCCCGAAGAATTACTTTTTATCGTGTGCAGAATTAGCAGTCATTACAAGTACATTAACATTACACTCATACCTGTGGGGTCTGTCGCTGCGCAGGTTCGTGATGACGTCGAAGCTGTCATCAGTGAAGGAAGAGCTCACGCACTCCGTGCATTCACTGCACGGGGTAATAATATATATTTAATTGGCTTACATTTCTGTTTCCCTATACATTTTACAGCCAAAAAGAAAATCTTGACAAATGAAAGTATTAGAAGTAAATTAATATTTTTTCTCTCGGATAGAAGGCGCGCGTAATTAAACTTAAATTAGGAGACGAGCATTTAGAAGCGTAACAGCGAAAAAACATGCTTGTAAATATCATGTAAGTGACGGGCGTTGGAGCGTATGAGTGTTTGTGTGATCAAGTAAGCGACGGCGTCACTGAAGGCACGATAGTCTACGTAATTGTGTACAATTTATGACCAGAGATTGACTATTTATGACCAGAGAGAGACTATTTATGACCAGAGAGAGACGAGTGACTGCCCATCACTCGCTAAATTGTACGCATATAATCAAGAAATTTCTGCCATCTTATAGTAATTGTGTACGTATATGATTGGGTATTATTTAATAACGAAATTGTTGACGGTCTTGACCTGAAGGCAGTCGAGCATCCGTAGACCTCAACGATGTAGCCGAAGCCGGGGCCCGCGTGCAGCGCTGGTGCCACAGACACCCAACTCACGTTCACTGACGAAGAAGTCTTCGACGTCGACCACGTCTGTTGATTTTTGAACATTATGTTTTTGATTGAAATTTATCATAAAATGTTTGAAGGTAACGATCAAAACTTCATTACATCCGTTAAAATAAATCTTCGAAAACTTCAATGATTAAATCTGTTGAAATAAATCTTAAAAATATTCAACGATTTTATGTGGTCTGGGATTGCTAATTCCAAAATACCAAAGGATACCACGGCTGAAAATATGGAGAGCTCATAGCGTGATATTAAAATATTCAGAGATTACAATTTATGACGAAAATATAATAGTATGACGAAAGGATTATAGTGTAAGATTAAAAATTCAATGATTATTATGAATGATGAAAATATTCAAGGAATATTGTGTATGATGAAAACCTTCCGACATTTAAGCGACATGTCCTCAAATATCTTAGATTATTTTAGAATTTTGCTACATTAACCTGGTTAGAAAAATGTACATTCATCGCAAGACTGAAATTGTACCAGAATCGCACGAATTCAGAAATCAGTAGCGAGCTATGGCCACACTAAGAAAAAAAATATATTTTATTGTGTAAATTGCGTCACACCATTTTTACCCACAGCCCCAGCAGAATTCAGCGCTGATACGCCCCTTTAGTCGGACCAAACTGAGTCAGGATGGCCGACAAAAGAGCACAAAATACATCGCTTTTTGGACAATGTCTCACTCATTTCTCTGAGAAGAGCTCACATGGAGGCACCACAAGAGTGACCTGAAACATGCCGGGGGCTGCTGCAGGAGGCGCTGACGGTGAGGCAGTAGGGGTTGTCATGCTGGTGCTTGCAGGGTTTGACCAATACTTCGCCTCGGCCTCGTCAGGCTGCAGCTCGATGGTGACCGTGTAGTCCAGGTTGTGGTAGGGAAGATGTAGTTTCAGATGGGAGTCGTACGCCATAATCGTCTGCAATGTAAAATAAACAGTTCTAAGTCCGTCTTTTTCTTCGGTTGGTATTGACATTCGATTGAATATTTTAAGACATTTGTTTAAAGTCTTACTCTACAGTCGAATACAATGCGAAAACGAAAATATCGAAACGAAACGAGTGGGTTGCTTTTAGCCACACATTAGCTTCGTTTGGTCGCATGAATTTTTCAAGTCAGAATTTCAGCTACATAGTCGGTTTCAAATATTTCTGGTCAAAAGACAAGTGTGTGAACCAAACATTCGGAGAAGAATCGGCAACAAGCCAAACTTGGTCTAATCGTAAATCTATAAAGGTACTGTTCCATACTGTATTAACAAACATTTCTGAGTCGTTCTCATCACTCGACTACAATGATGACAAATATTTCTGGGACGTACTCTTTTGTTGACAAAAATTCAAACAAACATTTCTGAGCCGTATACTACATTCAACTAAAATGAAAACATATTTGCGAGTCTTACTCTTCAGTCGACAGCAATATTGCCCAAATAAACTTTTTCCCTGAAGCTAACATATAAACGAGTTAATTGTGCGATGTTGAATTGCGCGAGTTGGTGGATGAAACACTAATAGATATCAATTATAAGAGGCATGAAGGGTAAATGGGTTATTGAAAATGAAAATATCTGAAAATTTATAATTAATTAGCGAAGGAGGGAGGGTTGTCAATGTGATTTTAGGAGCAATTTCGAACAAATCTTCTATTTCTGAATACTTTATAGGTAGGGGCATCGTTCTTTACCAAATATAGCGGCTCCATGAGCGGAATCAGTAAACTCAAGCACGCTCATATGAATTATATGAACGATGAGAACCCATTATAAATGAATGTAATATTGATTTTATTTAAATGGAAGTTGTCCAACTAAACTCACATGGTTATAGAATACTGAGGACACGTTGACTCGGGCGCGCACAGATGGCAGGGTGTGGTAGTTGCTGGGCGACAGCCACTCCAGGGCGAATTCTAAAGGCGACTCCAGCTGACGGTACTTGATGGAACGGGCTGCTTCCAAACGAACTGAAAGAATTCAAGTGAAATAAGAATTGCTGTTTGTGAAAGATGGCATCAACACAGAAGCTGAAAATTCTTTGGGTCAAGTTTGACGATTCAAAGTGATGTGCACTTCTGACTTTTACAATTACCTCAGGCAGTCGTCAACTCAGACAATACCTTGAGCCGAGAATTACAATTATGAGTGGCACATGAAACAGACTACTACCTCTGGAAGGCGTTAACTTTGACGATACTTTAAGGTACTTCTAAAGGAGGAAATTATTGGCCGATGGTATTAGCAGCAAGTTATTTCCACTTCAAATATTCTGCGAATTTCTTCTTCAGAGGAAAGTAGCTGGGAGCGAACGCATGCAGTAAAAAGTTTTGTTTTTGTGCCCGAAAGCGACACCTGTTAGGCTGCAGCAGCTGTGATGTGCGCATTTGTGTCACTCCGTGAGTTCGCGACATAGTCGATGATGCTTAAAGTTATCTCACCGTCCAACCCAGTCTTCCACCCATGCTCTATTTTGATCAACGAAGTTTTTTATCTCCTCAGCTAGTGTCACAACAATATTAAACTCGTCATTACCGTCACGCTCCCAATTCTTCCACCGAGCACAGACTTCACTTGACGGCTTCTAACGACGCCCTGGCAGTTGCGGAGGAGAAAATACAATTTGGCCAATAATTTCCTCGTGGATAAGCTTTTAGCCCCAAAACTAAAAGAAGAAAGCACTAGCCGCTAACATTATAGGCTAAAACTTACCCCTTTATAAGGACTTTTGATCCCATAGTTTCAATTAAAGAGTTCCACACATGAAGCTGACTACTAACTAACCTTTGGTAAAATAGTTGATGGTGTGCTGGAAGGTGGCGTTACCCAGATCATTCCCGAGGCTGATGTTGAAAGTCAGGTTGCGACTGAAGTTGTGGAATGTATCGAATTGCCAAACTTGGCGCCGTCCGTTTTTTATTCGGCTCGGGGATAAAATGCTGAACAAAAATTGGTCTCATAAATAAGATAAAATTTGAGAAGAAATCTATAATAATTCAGAGAGACTCGCGCAATAAATCAAAACGTGATAGTGATTGATAAAATAGAGCAGCAGTGAATCTAGAGAGGCAATGACCAAAAGTTTGATCCTTTCTTGATTAACTTTCTATAGTAAAATAAGGAAAGAATTTATGAAAGCAATTTAAACCTTGTGTTAACTGTGAAATCATTTATGAGCGAAAAAATTACCTAAACCTTTATTCCACCAAAAGGCGGAATAAAAAAATGCAACCAATATTCCACCAAGAGACAACCAATTTCGCAGTAACACGTCAACATTTTCGATGAGATTACGTTGAATCAAAATGGAAATTAATAATAAATCATTTATAGCATCGTCAGAATAATTTCATGGCAATGAAATTAATACATTTTTGAAAATCATAAGCATAAGCTCGACGCAAAGTTACCAGTTACCGCAGCTATTTAGGTTAAATTAGTCGAGAACATGAGTTTGATAAAGCATAAACCTACGACCATCGTACAAAGCAACGCAAGAAAATGTTAACTCATTCTTGACACTCGCCTTGGAAAAGTATGATTGGGAACAATACTAAAATGAAAATAGTCCTATTTTCCATGGCACAATTAGGTTTCAGTCATTGTGGGCGGGCTGCATATTATGTCCAAACAATCCAATTTAATGCAGTTTTGAAATTAAGTAACAAGCGTTTTTACGTACAACTTACAAACATCATGCTTGCGTTTGTAGCTCAGACAGACCAAATGAAATGTAACTTATACATAGAAAAATATAATAAACAAAATGTAACAATAATACTAAGCAAAATATCTATTGTGATGTACACACTCGCATTCTCCATCATCCACGATGCAGATGGAGATGTTCAGCACCGGTACAGGGTTGGGCATCACATCAAACCAGCACTCCAGGTCATCGTAGTTGTGGCTTATGCAGTCAAAGTTTTCAACGTCTTGCGGCGAATCTGCATGCAGGGAACGTTCTTTTTAGAATGGAGTGCGCATCCACGGAGTGGATAGAGGAGTGCGCATATGAACGATTATATATTAAATATATTTGAGGTAGTATGGAAACATTAGTTTTAATGTCGTGCGGCACGTAGATCATGAAGGTATATGGGAATAGAAGAATGCATCTACCAACAGGAAAAGAACATCCGTAGAATTTTACCTTAACATTTTGAAAGTTTATCAGGACCTAATTAAGCATCAACAATAATTATTCACGAGCATCAGGAAACTTACATCGAACTGGTGAAGCACATATAAGATTACAATATCTCGTCACATCTAATTGTTTTCTAAACTTTTTCAACTAAATTAAACTAATTTTATTTTTTCTCTATATATAAACAGTATAAATTTTCTCTTATATATTACACAAGCACTCTTCCACCAAAGTCATATTAACAAGAATAAGAACGATATAATCATCGTTGATTCATTACATCCAACTTGAAGTCTGCGCGTGCAGTTGACGTTAGAGGCGATGTCGCTGCAGAAGAGGAGGTACACTCCGGGCTGCTGCACCGTCAGCATCACAGACTCACTCAGGGCCGTGTTATTCTGTTGCGCGCACCATCGTTAAATTCTAACATTTGTAATTTAGAATTTTATTGCAGTACTTGACATCTTTCAATTGAAGTATTAACTGTAATACTCTTAAACTCTAATTTATTCCTCACGAACTTTCAATTGAACTTAACCAAGTTTATTACCTAGTTCATTATTACATGTAAAAACAAGTTTTTTACCGACTAATTTTATTTTATTACTGGAAAAATTTTGAACTAAATTGTATGTAAAAATATTTTTTCCCACTTTCCAGAAGGGAAGAATGGAATAGTAGAAAAGATAATGCGTTTGAACGTAAAAAAACGAGAAGAGGTAAACGGAGTGTGCGTGGATTTTAGCAAAAAATGTAATCGTAAATAAATGCACAAATCTACTCAACTCGGTTTGAAGGCAAGAACAAGATTTATAATTTGTAACCGCTTATAACAAAACGTGAATCTTGTGGTAAATCGCTTTTTGAGTGCGTGAATCATATAAAACCCAGATTATGATGCCGAACCGATGAAATAAAAATCATGTTGAATACGTGGCTCAAAAATAGATTGCAAATATACATACATAGGCCATAAAATAACGTTGATGAATTGAATGTAAATCATGAATAACGAACACAGGCAGATAACGAAAAAAACATTGCGCGGCAAACAGCAACAGACAAAAATATAAGCCCACGAACATTGTTCCCAACATATTAACAACATCATAGCAACATGAAAGCATTTGTTCAAGATATTCTCGCTGTCATAATCACTCATGCATATAGATTGAGCAATGATCATGTGCATATTCATCAACTGCGTAATCACCAAGCCTTAAAATATTATTAAATGTTCCCTCAGAAATGCATTGAACGAAATGTTCCCGGGAACTATCAGCCAAAAATGAAACAAATCGCACAAATAAAAAAAAAACATATTATTTGTTAGCCAGCATATCACATTTTTTCATTACTAATTTAAAGCAATCACGTAGAGTGGAGATGAACACAGATTAATAATAAACAATAATCAACTACACAAGTACTTATATCCTCAGTCTGCTTAAAACGCAAGTTGACAAGAAATTTAAAAGCAAAGAGATCGATATGGTGAATTTTACTGCAGATCGATTTACTATATAGTGATTCAAAGCGATATGGTGAATTTACTTGGCTTTCTCTTTGCTTTTAAATTCCTTGTCAACTTCACAAAACTTACGTACTCGTGGCATGAAGCAATCAGCACCTGGCAAACAATTGCACGAAACCAATTGAATTTCCAGATAATAATGCGCAGCAGGATCAATAGCTCTTCAGTAAAAACCGGAGAATTTGCTTTCATTTTTTCTGAAAGCTAAATGTAAATTGTAAAAAATTCATTAAAAACCATATTCAGGAGCTGATCGGACATTGAAATGTCTCGCTAAGTAATGCGTACGTGTCCCAAGTTCTTCCCGATCGAGGCAGTAGAAAAATTTCAAACATGGAGCGCGATCTGCGTACGGACTACGGAACGGCAACCATTTTGAGCTGTAGTTAAAAAGCCCATTGTAAAATAGACCAAAATCTAAACCAATAGAAGGATCTGCCGAAATATATTAAGTAATTAGAATCATCAAGGAATCGAATATTGTAATCATATTAAGCTTTGGTTTATTCGCTTGATTTAAATGCAAGCAATAATTTATTTACTTGAGTAATCACATTTGACGCGTATCGCGGTGCACAAAGAAAGAATTTAGCAGCACAGAATCGAAGCCTCGTGCAGCGGGAACAGCGAGAAAGCTGAGAAGACGTCACCTCATGAAGCACCATGAAGTTGTTCATAACTGAGCCGTGATTCCAGAGTGTACAGTTCTCTTTCGAAACCCTACTTTGAAACTGACTTCGAAGCTTAGACATGACACCAGCTTTGAGGGAGTCGACTGGTAAAGATCGGCAGAGGTCCGCAGACGTTGGTTGTTGCTTAACCTCCCGGTGGAAAGGACCTGCACTGTGTATAGCTCCGTCGACTGAGGGCAACAACACGGAACCTTCGTCGTGTCCAGCTCTGTCGAATGAAGGCAACAATACGGAACCTTCGTCGTGTCCAGCTCTGTCGAATGAAGGCAACAATACGGAACCTTCGCCGTGTCCAGCTCTGTCGACTGAAGACGAAGATTCGCCTTCAGTTAGGGTTTTAATGGAAGGATGAGGTATCGACGAGGTCTTAATTTGTATAAGTGATCGCTTATGGCGTATTTGTCTAGGAATTTCGAAAACGGACGAATGGCGAAAGTCAGACTTTCCTCGACGAGAGAAAGAAGTTTTCCGGATAAGTTCACGAAAGTGTCGCGGAGTTGACCGAATTGGTTCGTCAGAAACTGGAGCATCAGCTGACTTCAGGACGATTTGTGGAGCGCAACCTATTGGGATATCCGGGAAGCCATTATTAAAGATGGTTTAGGTAATGAGGAGGGGCCGAACTATCAAAACTCACATGTACACGTAGCGGCCGTTCTCGGCTGTGATTGTTGGGTTTGGCTCGAAAAGCCGTCAGCGATTGACTGAAAGAGTTAGGAACTCGAAGCTATTTTTGATAGTACGGTCCCTCTCATGACAAGATACTTCATAATAATTATATATAATTTAGCGGTTTCAGCGTTTATTAGGCCGTAGGCCTGTCGCCCATTCTTAACATTGCAGAAAATCCACAGCTTGTTGCGGGCTTGAACTCAACATGCACTGCTTCAAATTTTCTTCGCTTAACCGCCCGGCCTCCTCGCCGATTCTGACCAGAAACTGGCGCACAGATCGAGCTGGGATCGAACCCGCACCTCTCTGCTCCAATCCTGGTACTCTGAACTTAATCACTGGGCCACTCTTCATGCCAAACTTTCTTCTCTCAATAGAATTAATGTGCAATAACGAAATTATTCACGCTAAAAATAGAACTAACATCCTTTCCAGAACATCGTTCACAATCTTTCTTAAAATATTTAATGAAACCGCTTTAGATAAACGATACTTTATTTTTTCGCTCATTTTGATCTTGACTTTTACGATGATAATAAGATAAGTCCAAAATTATATGTAGGTACGACTTATTACACTTTACAGAAATGAAATTGTTTATTTACAAATAATATCGCAGAAGGATTATGGTTTTGGATTTTTTAATCAAGTGACCAGAGAGAATTAGTTGATTTATATTATCAGGGAATGGAACTTTTCTTCAGATGACGGTAGATCAAAAGGCAAATTTCAGGAAGTAGTCTTTCTTCATTAACGACGTTTCGAATGCAACAAACATTCATTTTCAAGTTAAAGAAGCATTAATCATTGAAATTTTGATGGAAATAAGTACATAATATAAGTAACTAGGATACAACAGTAAAATTTTTGGACCAAAAATTACTCGGAAAATTCTTTCAGAGTTCAGACAAATCCGGTAGTCAGAAAATAGATAACTGGGATCCAATCTGTAGAGATGAGGAGTTCAGCTATCGCCGGTCGTTTGTTGTCGGGCCACAGCTTGATCACGATGCTGGCGAGTACGTTCAGCACAATGCGGGTGACGGTCTGGTTGTAAGCTTGTCTCGCGTGGTTCACCTGCCCTCCAGTCTGAAGGTAGCTAACGAGACAGCGGCTCGGTGTCTTGATTGTTTGTCCAATTTGTCCGATGTCGTCCAAAACAGAAGAAGTCTACAACCTTCTTTGAAGCAAAATTTATAGACTACACCGGCCTCTCGGATAACTCCCGCATTTTTTCAGGGGCCTTTGTTGCTCTTGGTTTGAAATTTGACGTTGTTGTCAAGGGTGTCACGAAGCCTGTTGAATTCATCGACGATTTTGAGATGAACTTGCTTGTTGATAATGCTTTGAGACCTGCTATGGTTGCGAGCTTGTCTCTGGTGGTATGTTTGTTGCATTCGAAACGTCGTTAATAAAGAAAGACTACTTCCTGAAATTTGCCTTTTGATCTACCGTCATCTGAAGAAAAGTTCCATTCCCTGATAATATAAATCAACTAATTCTCTCTGGTCATCAATCGCACGTGTATAAACAATTAAATTCTGCCATCTAATACTATATGTATATATATATATGTTCATTGTTTAGCGGAGAAATTCTGTAGAATGTTACCCGAAGCGTGCAGTGCATTTTCCTAGCGACAGTCAACTTGTGATAGCTGCAGAGGTATCAATGGCTTGATACGTGGGAGATAATGATGGTTTTATCAGTAGCGATAACGAAAACCGTAAAATAAAAGGTTATTACGTTACCTAGCGGTCAACTCAACTTGTTTCATGATTTGAGCGAGGGCAGTGAAGAAACTAAGTACGAAGTTCTTTTTCTAAATCGGCATTCGATCGACAAATATTCTTAAGTTCTAAAAATAGGATTGAAAGTGCTAACCATAAAACTCGCTGTAAACTATTAACAATAATCTTTTCATCACAGCTGTCCAAACGACAGCCTGTTTTTAAAAGCTTTCGGTACACAAAACTATGCAAGAATGTAATGTGCTCATTTAGCGCGTTTTGAATACATGGAATTTATTAGAACGCGCTTCATAGAAAATTCACGGCTATACTAGGGATTGCATGCATTTTCCTTCGTTTCCGCACCGTAGGAAGAAGAATTAAAAGAATGAAAGTGCATTAGTTACAAATTCGCTCACAGTGAGAATAGCTAAAGAATTACAAATCTGAAAGCAATGCATGTTATAATAGCTGCGAGAGTAAACAATATGTTAATAGATATATGATTTGTTATGTAGAATAAACACGTCCCATGTAAACAAATATTTCATATAAATATTACACCAACGAGCATAAAAAAATACATAAAACTCGAATAGAACATCCTCACCAATTACATGAATGTCACACAACCCAACTGTAAATATTAATGGGTATAAAATAAAGAATAAGATGTATTTCACCTTTAGTGCGGTGACACAGAACAGCCACGAGAAAGTAGATATGTACAATTAGTACCTACATCATATGTAAACAAGATCGCTTGGCGGACCATCGAACACATATCATAGAAGAACTAATTAGGTTATATCCACTACACACTACAGTGACTACACAGTACAGTCTTACTACACTAATGACACCAAATTTTTAACTAAGACTTCAGGTTTCTACCGTGCAGAATCGTACGACCAGAAAAACTACAAGGAAGGTTACGATCTGAGAAAGGGGGAATTGTATTCTACTATAGGATTATACGGCGACAACACGAAAACAATGTTGACGAAACATTTTACTGACGGAACGAATGTTATTCCGTTGTAACACAGAGAAATGTCCATACAATTTCTTATACGCAGCAGAGACAAATAACCGTAGCCCACTATATACCACACAGTTGAGCGCCGCAGCATAGTGACCCCGGTGGAGTAGCAGGATATATTGTCGGAGAAACCTACGTGGTGGCCAAAACCAAGTTACCATCATTTTAAATCAGTACAAGAACATCGAAATAAATTACTAACAATGCATGAGAAGATGAAGGAATACGAGTGAAAAATGGTCCTGAAAAAGACAATATTCCTGCTACACTATCAGGGTCAGCCCAGCTGGATATAAGAGCAACGTTTGCACCTGTCGCTGCAACGTGACGCCACGTTCTGGAGACACCACTAGAGACACGCGAGATGCCTGTGCGACGTTCGCTGGGTTCAACTCACACTTCACGCTCAGTGGTACGCCGACACGACCAACGATGTGGCGCCGAGGTATTATCACTGGAAGTTTTCATACAGGAAACTGCTATTTGCTATAAAAATTCTACACAAATGAGAGGTGTTGTAACGATCAACAATTTTAAAATCTAAACCCAATTCATTAGGAGCACAAATCTGCATACAAAAAGGAAAGACAACCTATAAAATTAGAGTTAGATTGAGTATAACTTGCTAGCTTGTTATAGTAAATGAAACGTAATTTAAGGGAATGCTTACTTGACTGCATGCCTTTTCGCTTTTTATTTCATGAATATACCGCATCGCATAACTGAAACTTACATAGTATTGACCAGTTGTTTTTTTGCGCTCTTCGAACTGTCTTCTAGAAACCAATATGTATATTATATACAACCAGAGGCTCGTTCACGTGCGAAGCAATTTAGTTTAAAAAATGCTAGTTAATAATCAAAGTATAATACTAGTATTATAATATTAATTATAATGATATAATAATTAATACAAGAAATTATACGAGACTAAAATGGCAGAAATTGGTAGAATTATACTTAAACAATGGGAAATTTTTCTTTATATCTATTTTTGACTGGTAATCTTACCAGCTCTGTCGGTATCGTAGCGGCTACACCGATAATATTCAGTTTCTTCTCCAGTGCTCGTCGCGTCGCTAGATGCAGTCACCACGCTTCCAGGCGGCAGCAACGTAGCCGAATAATCTCCATGTTCTGTGAAAACTTCATTATCTTCTTCGTCTTTTCCGTTAACGAACGATTCGGAATACGAAGTTGAATCACTTTTACTACCGTCAGCATTTGATTTATAATCAGCATCATCAATTTCATGACTCTTGGTCACTTTACTGGATAGTTTCGTCGCCTTTATTGGTAGCACTGCATGATTGAGAGACGTGCTTTGTTGAGGTGTCACTACATCGTCGTGAAGTTCGTTGGAGTGCACTACGTCATTCTGATGAGGGTCGGCGATCAGCGCTCGCTGTGAACTATGCCTCAGTTTGTTTTTTACTCCATAGTAAATGGGGTCCAATGAACTGGCCGGATTCAACTTCAATGGTTTTCGAAATTTTTCGATCTCAGATAGAAAGTTACGCGTGCTCTTGGTAGGTTTATCACTCGAAATAGTGGAAAACTCGTTGAGATTCTTCTCTTTAATTGAATCGACGTGAAATGCAGGCAACGCGGATGTATAGGGTTCGTTGGCTAGCATTTTCAAGGTGAAGTTTTTGATGTGAAATAGTTCAGCAAGCCATGAGGACAGCGACAGGTTCGGGTTATTGGATAAAACCTTCCCAACGGTGTCGGCATATTCGCCGTCCTTTATTCCAATGGCTGGTAGGCCATTTCCACGGGGGTTAATAGTATTCAAAAAACAGACAACCCGTTGAGTATCAAAGCAGATAATACTTATGATGAACAAGCGCAGTATACGAACGATTAGATCCATTTCAAGGTTCCGGCTTTGCCCTTTGCTTCAACTAACATCAGTATAAAAAAAATATACAACATCGCCAATGGAAAATTGTTTCTCGTTCCGTTAATCAAACTAATTATTCAAATATGCATAACTAGGGTAAATGACAGAAATATTGTCCGTTATAAGCTTTGAAAATGGTATTCGTTGTTCCATTCAGTCCTTGAAATCGGGTTTTCTGAGAATTTCAAAAGTATCAATAAAACAATAGTACTAATCAACGAAATAATTAAACATAATAAGCGAATCCATGGTGGTTATGCTGGTAAAATGGTTACTGTAACAAATGGATTAATTAGACATTGTACTACAAGGCTACGGACATGAGCAGGGAACTTTCAAAATATGCCTTAGGGAAGCCGCGCTAAAATATTATTAGTTAAACAAACAGGACCCTGACGGAATTTCGAGCTGCTTGCATATTGTAAACGAACTTTTTCCCTCTCCAGCCTTTGAGCTGAGCTCAATTTAAAGCGTAAACAAAACAGCATACGCGTCCGCAATGTAAACCCGAGCGTCTAGCTTCTTTTTTGGCGCTGCCGTAAACACTGCCTGCAGATCAACGAAAACTCTTGTGCCTCTCTGTGCACCCACTAGCCTTGAAATGGTCTTTATAAAGGAATTTGTTTTCAATGAATTATTGATATTACTTTCAGGAATGAATTAACTTAGTGATATTCTTCCGAGATAGATCGGAAGAGCTTTACAATCCTATCATTTATAATTGGACTCTCACAAACTTGCTTCTGGCTCAGAAACTAGCGTCACTTGCCACGAATATGCGTCCTCATTAAGAAAGAATGCCTCTAACAAGTGTTAAAGGCTTGCAAATACCTTACTTACGATCATCTGCAAGTACTAATAAAACATTACGATTGAAAAATAAGGATCTAGCGGTCAGAAATTCGGGTCAGGAAGGCTGTTTCATCATCAGTTACAGGGTCGTTTTTTTTTTTCACATACAATTTTATGAGACTGATAAATATATAAGGCCAATTCATGGAGTATCCATCACAGAAGAATAAATGGATTTAAACTCAAGGTTCGATAAAAAAAGAGCTTATGAGGCCCGAGTTGTGATCATTCACTAAGAAGCACCGCTAACGAGTCAACACTGCAAGATGAACGAGTATGCACACAAGGGATTCCCATGATCGATTGAGCTCCAATTGCCTCGGTGACACGCGTGTTCCCTCCAACGCAGCGCCAAAAAACGCTCCGCTTTCAAGTTTTCAACGTTAAAATATTATGTATACTAAAACATTTATATATGTACTAAACTTATGAATTTATAAAATTACATACGTAACCCTTGTCCTGGAAGTTACATATAAAGGTTTAGGAGCTTCGGCATTCAACAATAACGAGCTTGCCGTGTCACGAGAAGATGGTCCCTCTTTCACGTAATTAATTTCAAATGAAGCAATATTTTTTTCGAATCAGAAATTCATCACAGAGGCTTGTGATTAATCAAAATCGATATTTTATTCCAGCTGGACCCCCCCATTGAAGAATCTGGCGAGGAAGGTAATTGCATTTACTGCAATGTTCACCGTAAAATTTGATGTAAAGTATTGTTAATAATTCATAAATTTCATAGGAATGATCTAGATATGCCGAACATTTATCTTGAGTACTAATTAACAATGGTTATTTTTACTGTGAATTTTATAACTAAATTATTATTACTAGTAGTAGGAGAATGGTTGGCTAGCGCTTCAGCTATCAAGCTACAGGGTGCGCCACAGAAACTTGCTTATTTGAAAAAATTCCTGTGCGGTTAGTTGGTCGGGTAGAGGGGCGAGAGGGGGTGCATCTGAAGGGGACAGTTCCCAAGTTTGTTTCTCAAAGTTTCTCAAATAAATTTGCTGTAGTGCAAGAATTAACTGAACGCGATTTTGTTGCCCCTCAAAATGCATGGAAAATGCTGGTTGACAACCTGCCTGAAGACGCGGTCGTTTTTTTCAGTGGCGAGGCTCACTTCCGCATTTCCGGCTGCGTCAACAGGCTAAACATGCGTTATTGGTGTGGTGTAAATCCACGTGAGTTTCACCAGAAGCCTCTTAACTGTGAGCGAGTTACTGTCTGGTGTGCGACGTCGGTAATGGGAATAATTGGTCCTTATTTTTTTAAGAAAACGAACGCGCAGTTACCGTAAATGGAGCTCGTTACAGGAACATGATCGAGGAACTTTTTCTTCCAAGACTTGAAGAAATGAACTTTAGGAACGTGTGGTTTCAGCAAGATGGAGACTGAGATCTTCGGTCAGACACCGCGAGATCAGCGGTGGGACGCTCAGGAACAAGTCCACCAGGAGCGCGAAATCCCATGCATAGGACTTCTGACGAGCACAGGATACGAGTCAGAGGTCCCTGAGGGGAACTAAATTATTACAAATATAGAACTTTTATCCCATGAAATAGTTTGGAAGACTAACTCTATCATCAGATAAAAAATTATCCTATAACCAACTAATACGAGCAAATTCACGCGGCAGAGGTTGAAACTCGAATTTACTAATAGATTTCGAGGGACTCAATGAGCCTTGTTCAGCTGGAGCGCCTTTGCAGGGCTCACATTGCTGCGCTGTACCGTACATTGTCCGGAAGATTTTGAAATTTTAGCAATCACTTTCGGTAGTTTGGAACTATAGATTTTGGAATCCTAAATAACTTTTAACGCGAATCGTGCTTGAACAACGCCTCTCGTTCTAATGAAAAATAAATTAATAAAATAAATAATTAGGGAAAAATAAAATAATTAGGGAAAAATAAAATAATTAGGGAAAATAAAAAACGAAGGAAAAAATAATTAAGTAAGGAAAAATTAATTGATAGTTGTATACGTCGCTTCCTCACTTATTCTGTCAATTTAGGCTTCAATCCCTACCATGCAAACGTAGCAGTCCCAAACGAATCTTGTTACATTGAATTTTTTGAACTGATGATGAAGCTCCAGTGGTCATCGACATATTTTCATTTAATATAGGCTGAATTTGTCAACATATTTAAATTCTAAGTTAATTAGTGATAAAAGCCATTGTATAGCTGTGATACATGTAATTTTTATCCAAGTCGGCATGCAGAGATTAATGCATTCCAAAGATTGTGAAAATTACTACCTATTCATCAGACGTGGTTCGATGAACCATGTCAAATTGAAAACAAACTCGAAATGAACTTTCCAACCAGGTTTTAGATCCGAATTGCACCTTCCCAGAGATCGTTTTGGGCCAAATGAATTCTTCATTAAAAAACTGATGAAAATATGACCAACTGGACGGAACGTAACTGGCTTCTCAAGTTCAGCGGTTGCTGAGCTTATATGTCCAATTAATGCTTGGATCATCCTCATGAAAACATGAGAAGACGAACGAGGAACCTAACAAGCGAATAAAAACTTAAGCCAAGGTCTACTTATGAATGTCCTTCTTGAAGTCGCCGTCGTATTATAAGTAATCGTACAAAGCCAACTAAAGCATGTTGATTCTTTCATCAAATAGCCAATGGATTGAACAGAAAACTCTGAGAATAAGTACAATAATGAAAGTGAATTGAGTCAGTTAGCAATTATATCGTCTAGATTACACACTGATGACAAAGTGGCCACTTATAATAGTGGATCACTAAAATTTATATATGAATAATATGATGTCTAACTCTCGCCCAAAAGAAAGGTGGAATCAGGGGTCGCACTGCCGTTAAACGGAAAAAGTGCCTAGAGATTTTTCACTTATTGTTTGGCAGAAAATGAATAAAATTTTTAATAGGGTATTTCAGATGTCTTCATAACGTGAAGACCATAGTATTATCGTCTTAATCTACTGATGCAATTTGGACGTTGCAGAATAATGCACGATAAGACTCCTAGAAAATGAAATATTACCTCTCTGAAAATCACCGCATAAAAGAACACCAAAGTTCCATAAGGTATTTTAGGCATTTCAGTTGAGTTTTTTTCAAATGGGACCTTCAATGTTCGTCACATAATTGAGTTGCGCTCAAAAATTGTGAGCGAACATAATGTGCAACCACCACGAAAGCGCGCGTTGTCGAGACTGAAGAGCGCCGCGGCTGTGAACCTAATTTGTAGAGCTGCAGGCAGCGCTGTACGGCAACGGGCGCGATTAGCACCGACTGTATCGCTCCCCAGTGGCCAGAACTGCATAGTCTCCCTGAGCTCAGGTAAAACATAGCGTTGCAATTGCTGACAAGTACGCATGTAATTCGCGGACGTTTCAAAAATCAGGATGTTCATTTCGAGCGAGGAATTTGTTTTAATAGAAATTAGATACACATCACATTCGACCCAAATAAATGAAGTATATGGCCAGAGCTTGTCTAAAACATAGCACTCAGCATTTCATATCCATTACACTATAGTTAGATGGTAAGAAAACAGGTTTCTGTATCAAATAAAAAATAACAAATAATTTGACGGCATACATTGAAATGCACACAACTGTAGCCAACGATTCTAATAATTATTTCTGACTGTTGCTGTTGGTCTGCTAGGGATATGGAATTACCTTCCTTCGGTCATAGTGCTCCATATATGCAACATTTGTGCTAGTTCCCACGCATATATCTTTATCACCTAAAGTCTCGGAAGTGCATTAATTTTCAGAACAGTAAACGATAGCGCTCTAAGAACTGGATTATTTGTTTGAATTTCAGGTTTGACCAGCTCCAACATAAAATGTTATTTATAGTGAGAACGGTATTATATGTTAGTTATGTTACAGTAACTTTAGTACACTTAACTCAATGATGTGCACTTATCGTTCGAAAAGACTACATGCATTCTTGCCAAATATTACATTCATTCTTTAGTATCTTGACTACATTAATTCTTGCCATATCAAAATTTTAACAGGTATTTAACTCGAATTGAGCTTAGGGCCTCTCTTCAGAATGTACAGAGCGGTCTTATTCAAAGTTCAGCACGTAATAATCCTATGACAAAATATTCCATCATGCAAGCCACTACTATATAGCGTATGCTCACATAAGGCTGTTCCTAGCCTGTCTATATCTCTCTATATATATCCGTCGAGTCTCACATAGATAGCGAACACATCAAGTTATCAGATTCGCGAAGCATTTCCGGTAGGTGCTGTGCTCAACTGCACACATTTCTATCATCCCATAATGCCTGTAATGTTCATATTGTGTAGTAATTACATTGTGAAGTAATGTGCAAGTTAGGCAGAGCAGCAGTTATTGTTTTACGAACTTCGTTTCCTTATTTGAATCTTGCGATTGTCAAGT